TCGCCAAAGTGGTAAACGTCTGAGACCTGCATCACTTCGGGCTTTCCTCCTACATTTTGCTGACACGTCGTGATATAACTGGAATATTGTTCAAAGCGGAGTTAAACCCAACTCACTCACTGACTCACTTTTGACACTGAATTGGTGTTTGATCTAGGACCTCTTGCTGTGTGTAGATGATGTTATGGAACTATACTACTCAACATATCTATTATTCCCACATTCCCATTTCTCAATTCTACACCAACCTGATTATAAAACATATTTGAAGTTAAGCCCTAAGATTCTTTTACATTTCTGTCCCGTCTCGAAAGTTGCGAAAACCTCCATGGATGAAATCAGCACCTTGAAATAATAATCTTATAACTCTATGCCATACACTGTATCAGCACACATTTGACACATAGTAAGTTTTTATATTGCGAATCGATTTGATGTACCAGTATGCTGTGCTCCTTCCAACGGCACACAGTTCCCACTGCTCGTTCAACTACAAGTATTTGCTGGAGTTCCCGAATTGCCCCCACTGCACGCTGAAAATATTGACAAACAACCAGGTCCCCCCGCATCACCGTGATGGCTCTCCCCGCACGTATAAGCCATTATGCTTCCTCGTTGTTGAGTGGATAACCTCATCTTGATATTTTCACTGAACTGGCATCAATCAGTCTCAAGGGTGCGCTGGCAAGAACCTATGGCATATGAGAACACGCGTGTCATATTGACAGCGGACGATCGTGTCTCTTTGTGTCAATCATTGTTCTGTTAAAGAATATTTGCTCTTGACTAGCTCGTCTAGGGTTCAATCCATTAACGACTACTTTGCTACAAAAGCTGGTTCATCCATGCCAATATGGACAGAGAGTACACACGGTATCAGTGGACGTGACCCGCTTTGGAAATCGCGAAACGTTGCTGCATACTTTCGGATTTTTTTTATGGAATGGTTTTTTTTAACATTGGCACCATGCTGTCGCCATAGCGATGTCATTATAGAAACGCAGTGCCATATAATTATCATGGTGATATCCTAGTTTCACAATATGGTAGCGCTGTAACATTAGGCTTGTAACACCGTTTCACAATAGGGTAGCGCTGTACCATTAGGTTTGTGACACAGTTTCACAATATGGTAGCGCAGTACCATTGGGCTTGTAACACAGTTTCACAATAGGGTAGCGCAGTACCATTAGGCTTGTAACGCAGTTTCACATTACGGTAGCGCAGTACCATTAGGCTTGTAACACAGTTTCACAATATGGTAGCGCAGTACCATTAGGCTTGTAACACAGTTTCACAATATGGTAGCGCTGTACCACTGGGCTTGTAACACAGTTTCACAATAGGGTAGCGCAGTACCATTAGGCTTGTAACACAGTTTCACAATATGGTAGCGCAGTACCATTAGGCTTGTAACACAGTTTCACAATATGGTAGCGCAGTACCATTGGGCTTGTAACACAGTTTCACAATAGGGTAGCGCAGTACCATTAGGCTTGTAACGCAGTTTCACATTACGGTAGCGCAGTACCATTAGGCTTGTAACACAGTTTCACAATATGGTAGCGCAGTACCATTAGGCTGGTGACACAGTTTCACAATATGGTAGCGCTGTACCATTAGGCTTGTAACGCAGTTTCACATTACGGTAGCGCAGTACCATTAGGCTTGTAACACAGTTTCACAATATGGTAGCGCTGTACCATTAGGCTATTAACGCAGTTTCACATTACGGTAGCGCAGTACCATTAGGCTTGTAACACAGTTTCACAATATGGTAGCGCAGTACCATTAGGCTTGTAACACAGTTTCACAATATGGTGGCATCAATACCTTATGTTTAAAGGGATAGTTTCATCAGTGTCATACTGCTGGCATTAATGTGGGATATAGTAACATCATTGTAGTAACAAGTGATCAGAAACGATCCTCACGTTGGAATGAACTGGAAGTAAGCGACAGGGAACATTGCAGGCGTATGGGCGTGTTATACTAAAAGCATAGTAACGTCATACTAACATAATACTCAAGTCATTGTGACGTATGATAACGTAGTTTCTTATACAAATAGCATCGTATGATATCGTAGTTTCCTTTACAAATAGCATCGTATGACATCGTAGTTTCCTTTACAAATAGCATCGTATGATATCGTAGTTTCCTATACAAATAGCATCGTATGATATCGTAGTTTCCTATACAAATAGCATCGTATGACATCGTAGTTTCCTATACAAATAGCATCATATGACATCGTAATATATCGTATTTGTATGACACCCCTTATACAAATAGCACCGTATGATATCTTAATTTCTTATACAAATAGCATCAGATTCTTATGATGTGGTAGTTTCATATGCAAATCATGAGGCGGCATGGCGTCAATTGGAAACACCAATATAGCACCATTCCCTCCCACACTGCCACCATCTGCACAGACACAGAGTCAGGGGACGAACAAAGGTGGAAAGCATACAGTGAAACTAGCAATAAAACTGTAAGAGGATAATGCAGGGATTCGCCGCTTCGTCTGTGATTACTGGAACCGGTTTATGCCTTATCCCAGGGGGCTGCACGAACATTGCACCTAGTTGAGGCGAAAGTGTGATTGCCTTCGATTGTGACCGGTAAGCTGTGGGTGTCACGCGGTTTGTACCAGTCTTCAACTGGCGCTAGATACGATGGGACAGTTTACTTAATTAGACAGATACACATACGAGCATGGCGGAGCTTGCTGTATTGATTTCTCGCGTGGCTATCTGGTTACTTATCGCCTCAAAAGGACATACCAATAACGGTTCTTTGCTAGATGGAAGGATAAGAATATTTGGTGACAGTAAGCATCCGGTGTGGTTTGCGTTTTATGAATAAAACTAAATTGTATTGATTTACGGTTCTTGAAACTTTCTGATATTGTGTCCTTTACGTCACATCCGCGTAGCCAAACAACCGTTAATAGACCTCTACTTGGATGGACAGCTTAATTGTGACAGTGTCTTGGTGCGACCTTGTGTTGTAACTGTATGGTATTGTGGTCGTTATAGATATTCCCATGGCAACGTCTTGGTTCATTAGTGGAAACGGTTTTATTGTTTGATTGGTGAGATAAATGATAGTTTTGTGTGAGATTAAAATGTCGACCTGGGGAGCATGTATCCTTTTTTGTATTTGGTATCTGTTCTGTCTGATTGCTGAAGATGATATGTGACAATCCATTTTCTGTATTGTTCGTGTTTTTTCGGTTTGGAATACATCAGACGTGTTGTGAGACATCAGGATTCGATTTTTAAATAATTATGCAATATTTTGCATGAAAGATGATCGGATGATGTTAACGAGCTTGCACTATTACGTTAAGGAAAGTTCATCCTCAGAAAGGAGCACGGTAGCCCAGTCGTCTGCGGCAATTCGCTGTGCAGAGTGGCGTCCCTTGGATACGCCAGAATCCTTAGATCATGGGTTCGATTCCCGGTTCGCTCGATTATGTTTCTAGGTTTTTCAGCACCATATCCGTGCTCGTGTAAACGTCTTAGACCTTCATCATTTCCGGCTTTCATCCAACATCAAGCTGACACGTAGTGATATAACTTGAATACTGTTTAAAGCGGCGATAAACCCCACTCACTCACTCACTCACTAATATACTCACTCACTCATCCTCGGAAAAATAACAATACTATGCAAATATTTTAGATATTGACATACATTGGTTATCTCAAATACGGACTTCAATACTTTCTCAAACACAAGGCTGTCATAACCTGCGATCTATTACCAAGGCGGCAGGTGTTATTCCATGTGGAAAAGTCCGGGAAAGCTTTATGCCCAACTGCCGCCAGTTTGTGAGATTCATTACAATCTGAGAATGTTGCTGAGGCTATAACTCCTTCATATCAAACAGTCCCATCATAAAGCATTTCTTATCAATTTCATTTCGACGATGCATTAGAGGACTTGCACACGAAATGCCGGTCCCTAATATGGGGTAAAAATGAAAAGACCCTTTCAAAACCTTGCTCGGTAGCAACCTTGTGCATTTATAACTAACGTGAGCTGTATGTTTATGTTAGCTTCGCCCTTTTGCCTCAAGGGTTTTCGGGGGGAAGGGTGGGCCAGTCGTCTAAGGTGCCGCGATTCGCTGTGCAGAGTTGCGTCCCTTGGGCACGCCAGAAACCTATGATTGTGGGTTCGAATCCCGGTTCGCCCAATTATGTTTCTAGGTTTGTCAGCACCATACCCGTGCTCGTGGGTTTCACCGAAGTGGTAAACGTCTGAGACCTGCATCACTTCGGGCTTTCCTCCCATATCAAGCTGACACGCCGTGATATAACTGGAATACTGTTAAAAGCGGCGTTAAACCCGACCCACTCACTCACTCAAGGGTTGTCCGTCCTCCGGAGACAATTTCGGGTATCTACTTTGCTAGGTTGAAATTCGAATCTCTGACCAGCGGATCCTGGCGGCTATAGAATAACCAGTCTCGATTATCCGCCGGAACAGATTCCAGGGGTCGTAAAAGGCAAAATAGAGGTAAAAATTATATGAATGGATCACTGAAAATCACAATACCGTTCAAAGCAGTGATAAAACTAACTCCTCGCTCATCCTATGAGCGGAATGAGCTTTTGGAAATGGATCGCCCCGTAGAGTGAGTGAGTGAGTGAGTTTGGTTTTACGCCGCTTTTAGCAATATTCCAGCAATATCACGGCGGGGGACACCAGAAATGGGCTTCACACATTGTACCCATGTCGTGAACCGAACCCGGGATTTCGGCGTGACGAGCGAACGCTTTAACCACTAGGCTACCCGACCGCCCTCACTCCGTAGAAGATCATCACAGAACGTTATATATTATATGAATATTTCATCACATGACATCACAAACGTTTTACGCGAGTGGTAGCAGAATCAGTTGGTGTTGGTGTACACACGCGTGTGCGTGTGTCTCTCACAGTAGTATTCTGTAAAGATTGATAACTTCAATGTTTTGTTTCAGAACTTACACTGGTCCGACCTGATCGCGAGCTCTGACAAACAGCAGGAATGTACCAGCTTGTCTGAGACTGAGCGGAAGCGGCGAGAGGCAGTGTGGGAACTCTTCAAGAGCGAGTGTGTCTTCCTCATTGATCATCTCATGGTACTAAAACATGTAAGTTTAAAAAGTAGGCCAGCGGAGTAATACACGTAGTGGTAGTTGCATGAGATATGCAGGTGAAAACCGACTGTTTAATATTCTAGGGTGGGATTCTTTTTTTAATAAAATAGTTTGTTCCAGAAAATACTGAAAGAAAGTAATTTGGTCTCAGTTTAAAAAAAATAAAATTTGTTAAGTGGAGTGAGTGAGTGAGTATGGTTTGACGCCGCTTTTAGCAATATTCCAGCAATATCACGGCGGGGGACACCAGAAATGGGCTTCACACATTGTAACCATGTCGGGAATCGAACCCGGGTCTTTGGCGTGACGAGCGAACGCTTTAACCACTAGGCTACCCGGCCGCCCCTTGTTAAGTGGAGGTGATGAATGCAAAACATGCGTTGTGGAATTACGTGATATAACCATTGATTTAACATTTCCATTGAAATAACCACTGGCACAGACATTGATAACACCATTGATACATTTGTATTGCTACTGAATTGTGAGTGAGTGAATGAGATGGGTTTAACGCCGCTAAACAGTGTTCCAGTTATATCGCGGCGTGTCAACTTAATGTGGGAGGAAAGCCCGAAGTGATGCAGGTCTCAGACGTTTACCACGTTGGTGAAACCCACAAGCACGGGTATGGTGCTGACAAACCTAAAATCATAATTTGGGCGAACAGGGATTCGAAACCAAAATCATAGGTCTCTGCACAGCAAATTGCGGCGCCTTAGACGTCTTGGCCACCCTTACCCCCTTATTGCTACTGAAACTAGCACTGATTATACGATTGATATAACCATTGGTATTATCAATGAAATTACCCTTGACATAAACAATGACGCACCAATGATAAGACTTCAAGTACCACGACCCTTGGGCATGCCAAAAACCTATTATTGTGGGTTCGAATCTCGGTTCGCCCCGATTATATTTCTAGGTTTGTCAGCACCATACCCGCGCTCGTGGGTTTCACCGAAGTGGTAAACGTCTGAGACCTGCATCATTTCGGGCTTTCCTCCCACATTAAGCTGACACGCCGTGATATAACTGGAATACTGTTAAAAGCGGCGTTAAACCCAGCTCACTTACTCACTTCAAGAACCATTGACCTTGGCATTGATGTTTCCGTAGTAGTAATGTATGCTGCCGTAAATAAAGCGACAATCCCTTTCCATAATCATAAGAAATCTCTTACTGGATCACATTGCACGATACCGATTATGACATAAGCATGTGTTTATGAAACGGGGAACAGGTTCAAGTCAAGTTAAGGAATTTTATCAGATATCATCTTTTGTCACTGATGTGTCAAATTTTGAAATGTCCTCCACATGTCTACATGTACCATTAAACATAAAGCTTTTTTAGACCTTGAATGCTGTAACGTTGGTGAATATTCGTAAAAAGAGAATGCTCAAAAGTTGAGAAATGTAGACACCAAAGGCTGGCGCTGCTGGAATATTGCTCGACATAAAGGTAAAATTGATTGGAAATTTGAAGTCATCCCTCCTTTCATACTTGTGGATGTTTTTGTCACTATGAATCTTAATGGATAAATCTAAATAAAGAAAAGATAACCCGTCCTTGTTTCAGTGTTTCATGGAGCCACTCAAGAAGTTGCAAGTGGAGGGGTTCCTTATGTTCGCCGAGCCACAAGACATCTTCGGCAACCTCGACGAACTCTGCTACGTACGTATAACCACTCAAAACTCCGCTCGACCCGCCCAGCACTTGCAGGAATCCATATTGGAACTCGACTCGTGCACGTGACTATTACGAACTGACTTATGTCTTAAACCAAATATGAGTGTTCAAGTTATTTCCGTTTGCTCTTGTTTTGAAACTAAGGTATCTATCTAATGTCTGTTAAACTTGGAATAACCGGTCTTCAAAACCGGAGGTTGTGATATAATCTATATGGGGAGCGATCTGACGTTATTCGGTTAACAGTGATTTCGTGAATATCACTACTTCGTCACTCCCCGAGGTATTATTTAGGCAGCGGAATAAGCCGATTGGAGCCGAGTGAACCTTGAAATCAGACACGCTCGTGAACATGTTTCCTTGGTGATGCAACCAAAGCGATTAAACCTTGTACTGGATGTATTTCAAATGGTGCTGCTGAGGTAATATGTACGCAGTCTAATCAGTCTGAGACAGCTTTGTGCAACCATGACCTTTTTCTTGGTCATGTAAAACATTGTTTTAACATGATATCTATGCTATTCCAGGTCAGTTACACATTCTGCAAAGATTTCCTTTCCGCACTGCTAAAGGACATGAGCTGCACGGAGTTCGGCCGCACAAAAGTCCTTATCAAAGCGTTCCAAAGAGTAAGTATATGCATTCCTTATATGGACATGTGTCATCTGTTCAACCAGCGATGAGTGGGTACCCGATAGGTAGGATGGCAATGTTAAACATTTCAAATCTTCATCAGGCATTTATGGATTGTGTACCCCCCAGAAGTTCAAAGCCTCAAAGGGCGGTCGGGTAGCCTAGTGGTTAAAGCGTTAGCTCGTCACGCCGAAGACCCGGGTTCGATTCCCGACATGGGTACAATGTGTGAAGCCCCTTTCTGGTGTCCCCCGCCGTGATATTGCTGGAATATTGCTAGAAGCGGCGTAAAACCTCACTCACTCAAAGCCTCAAAGAATAAGAACATAAACGTGCCTTGTCCGTGCGTACCAAATCCATTAAATAATTTTCATTAATATGCCATAACAGCTCATATTTTATTTGCCAATATCCACGTACTCCATAGAATCTCATGAATGGGCAGGATAAAAAAAAGACGGTTCAGACAAATGAATGAATATTTGCACGAGCATAAAACGTCAAATCAACCAGATCAGTGTTCTGAAAGCAGGTTTCTACACGGTTTACGAGCCTTCTCCATGCCGTTTATTTCCTTTGAGCACGAGCCTCCAAGGGAGGCTATTATTCCATCCTGGCAACCAAATGCTATCTCAACGTTCCACGCTTACCTTATCTCTTCTAAAAACGCTGCACTATTGATGCCGTAACTGGGGCTTACTCCGAGGTGGAACTAAAATGTACATTTAAATGCATATAATACATCTGATCTGTGGTCGTCAATAGCTGCTTCCAGATGCTGACAACGATGAAATCTAAAAATGTAACGAAAGAGGAAACTGGGTATTGTCTTCCGAAATAATGAAGCATTTTTAGTCCTGCCTGTAGAAATTATACACAGTCTTTATTTTCAATGAATACATAAAATGGAAACGCTGCAAGAAAGTTGGGCTCACGACATCAGCGTGGCATAATGAATGGTTTGAAAACAGCCCGTACATGTCAATAGGAGATGTTTTATCGGTTTCATGGTCAAAGCCTCATCTTCTGGACTGATAAAAATGGCAGACAGACCAAATCTCCAGCTGCAATCACATTGGTTGGATTGACGAATGTAAAGTCCTTATCGAACATTGAACACTTCCGAAGACATGTCGCTTACGAATGCAAATACCTAAAAATGGTTCTTTTCTGCAAAAAACGTGTCCTCAAGCTGCCAATCTGTAATTAATGAGCCATGGCATGAGTGCGTGGTAGCAGTTCGCGGGGACCTAAAGGCCATCAGATTGGGCCCGACCGTCAATATTTGGTCGTGTCGCATGAGCCCATTTGCACACGATTTGCAAGCTTAGAAGTGACTATAGCAGGGATGATGAATACTTTGGTCATTCCTACTCGGGACGAAACTCGGTTTACTTAATCAATCTTTAGCCAGCTCTTAAAACTCCATTTATAACCTCCCTTTACAATTACATTTTTATTTGTCCAATATTTCCAGCTCAGTATATGGTGTAGTTATATGGGAACGTTGCTTAGTGGTCTTCAACGCGGCCGATATTTCTCATTTATGTACGTTCTCTGGCAAGGCTAGCCGATTAGGAAGGGGCACTTTTCTTCGCTAAATTGGCTGTCAGTTTATATGGTTAAAAATTTGAGTTTTGAAACTAACGTGATGTCAGCCAGCTCCCACGTGTACATCCTTTTCCAAACAAATACTCCATGAACGTGATCTAATACAATATATTGATATTGATACAATAGCCCATGGGACGACTTTGTGTCTGTACTTCGAGTTTCAAATGTCAAAATACTTCCAATCATCTAAATGTTAAGTGTCATGACCCGGTTGCATTTCAATTTATTCGTCTTGTTTCCATGATTATTCGGGTTGATTGATTTCAGAGAGTATATTACATACAGATTTAACGTACAAAGTTAAACTTCTGAATATTCAACCATATCAATAGAAAAACACCAAATGACACCCCTTACAAACCTGTATACTTTAAATATCCATAACCGAACGTGTGTGTGATATTAATTTTGGAGCCTAAATGAAAGAGTGGTCGTTATTTAAACCTTGAAGTAGTGATTGAGATTGATGAGGTCTGTCATTCCTTCTATGTTGACCTCCTTCTGACATGGCACAGGAATAAGCCCATCACTACGGAGTCAGGGTGAAGACGAATGACCACCATCATTTGGGTATAAGCAATGATTGGAGACCGTGTATCCCCTCGATGTCCACACTGACCGTCACCTCGTCACAAGCACTGTAATTAATCTTCATCTGGTCGCTGATACTGTATCCTGGAGGTTTTTAAATCTTATTTGGTATCGATTACCATGATAAATACAGCTCTCGCGTCTTTCTTCCCCTTCATGGTAGTTTGGACCATCGTGTTCTGGCGCTTATGGTGTCACTTCACGCTTGGGTCCGAGTCTGAATTTAATTAACTGCCACTTAAATTCTCACATGAAAGACGACGTCTAATGAGCATCCCTGTCCCCATTGATTTGCATCCCTGTCTCGATTGATCTGTCAGAGTTTTGTGGAAACCGAGTTATTTGATAGTCATTAGGTTATAGAATGTAACCTTAAAATTACTGCCATGACGCAGCGTATGCTATAATGTATGGAAATGTATAAAGATGGGATTTGTATACGAATGGTGTGTATAGTGATTGAGTATGGTTTTACGCCGCTTTTAGCAATATTCCAGCAATATCAAGGCGGGGGACACCAGAAATGGGCTTCACACATTGTACCCATGTCGGGAATCGAACCCGGGATTTCGGCGTGACGAGCGAACGCTTTAGCCACTAGGCTACCCGACCGCCCGATGGTGTGTTTAAGCTGCCTGTTACTCTTGCCGAGTGAACTGTGTCGATGGTGCGTCATATATTTTTTATGCGTAGCTCCCTTGCATCTTAAAACAATTTTGTTTTGTTTTCATGAGAAGAAAATTGTCATCCTTTCAAGAAAACGATTGTGCATCTTTAAAAAAATATTCCCTGACACAAATACGATGCCATTGCCAATATCACATCCATATGGCGACTGGAACAAATTGTTAAATATCTGTAGACAATGTAAGGTACATATAACTTTTTTTTGTATAAAAGTCATAAAAATAAAATACACCCATATTCAATAGGTTAATTTGTATCAATTAAAATCGGGCTACAGATCACTGGCAGCCAGGTCTAGATTACCTTACTGATGATTATGAGGTATTAAAGTACCTTTGCATCCTACATGATACTCAGCAGGTTTCTTAACCAATGTTAAGTCTTTGAATTGAAATTAGAAGTGATGCCAATAAGAAGGAGAATTTATGGATGTCGAATTCTTTATCATGAAGAACACAACGTTTCGGAGTATATGTTAACGTCTTTATTCACCCGATGAAGGAATAAGTACATACTCCGAAACGTTGTGTTCATCTGGATAAAGGGGCAGTAGGTAGCCTAGTGGTTAAAGCCTTCGCTTGTCACGCCGAAGACCTGGGTTCGATTCCCGACATGGGTATAATGTGTGAAGCCATTTTTTGTGTCCACCGCCGTGATATTGCTGGAATTTTGATGAAAGCGGCGTAAAACCATACTCACTCACTCACTCACTCACTCATCAGAATAAAGAAGTTAACATCCTACACTGAAACACGTTCTTTTATGGAATATTTATTAGAATATATATTTATATCTGATCATCCAGTAATGCTTATCTGTAGATGCAGTGGTCGCCAGTAGAAGACCTATTATGTATTATTATCAATCGACCATGTCCTTGAAAAAAGTGCAGTCGCGCAAAGTCTAAGCCCGAATATACATAGAATGCTAGTTAAATACATAGCGTAAATGATAGTTACAGTTTCAGATTGTCAGAGCTACATTGGAGAACACCACGAGACGCTCCTGCTTGATTAATTAGACAAGACACATAAGCTTTGGGAACGGTTTTCTTTATTTCTCAGTTGCATATTAATTCCCAACTATTAGTACTTGACAATGGAGCCGGTTTTGTCAGCAATGAGAAAAATGAGTTGTTGGAACGGCATACTTCATTCTTGTTTGCATATTAATTCCCAACTATTAGTATATACCAGTGGAACCGCCTTTGTCACAGTGGTGTGTTTTATCATTCTGAGGTACATGTACATGTAGTTATGTAATGTTTGTTTTCTTACAGTTTTCTGCTCACTCCAAAGACGGTGCCGTCTATCATACGTATTGCCTCAACTACACAAATGCATTATCATACCTGGAGAAACTACGGCAAAATGCAGAGTTTGCTGAATTTGAAAAGGTAACCTATGCTTCGTGATTCGACGTTTTTGTACATGTTATCTTGTTTCATCTTTAACAACCAGTAAATAATGGAGACTAGTGATTGACAGTATGAGCAACGTCCCACGCCGGAAGGGACGGTGACATGCATCCAGCCAAGTCACCGAACCTGACCGCCCTTTTCCCTTTATTCGCCCTACACTGCAAGCATCGGTTGCACTGGGCTTTGTCATACCTGGAATCCCGTGAAGATTCCGGGGTAGAATAGGTCTTCAGCAACCCATGCTTGCCGTAAAGGGCGACTATGCTTGTCGTGGGAGGCGACTAACGGGATCAGGTGGTCAGGCTCGCTGACTTGGTTGATGCATGTAATCGTATCCCAATTGCGTGGATCGATGCGCATAATGTCAAACAATGGATTGTCTGGTCCGGACTCGATTATTTACAGACCGACTTTGGTTCTGTCTCTTAATTATGTAATGTCAACCAAACAAATATGAAAGGCGACTGATATTGAATGACCTTTCAAGAATGGAAAACAGTCGTAGCATGTGCATGCAACCATGGAATGACATCTGAAGATTGTGTTAACTTACGTTAATGACAGGAAATTAGAGATGGGGTGAGGTTGCTGTTTAACTCCTCTGACCAGACTAAGGGAGCTAAGATTTGGCACGTTTCTTCTTATGGTGATATCATATAATGTTCAAATCATTAGTACCTCATGTCTGTTTATAGTCATCAGAACCGCCTCCGTGGTCTAGTGGTAGAGTCTCCGCCCGGAGAGCGGAAGGTCCGGGGTTCGATCCCCGGCCGTGTCATGCCAAAATACGTTAAAAGATGGTACTTGTTGTTACCCTATCTAGCGCTCAGCAGTCAGTATACTGTGTCTGAGTGGGGTATTCATGTTAAACTGCGGCATGGTATCTCAGTGAGCTAGCACTATAAATCGGCATCAGTACAAGCAGCCACACACACACACACACACACACACACACACATGTGCATACATGTCGTTATATAAGTAATCTTGGACGCGACGTTAAACCCCATTTCACCACACCTCAACTTGTAGTCCTCAGTATTTATGCTAAAATATTTGAATATCAGTGCTGAAAGCGGCTATTGATATGGTTGTTTTTCTTGACATTTCAAACAAACTACATGTGAGCTACAGTGCCGCGGCACTACAGTAAACTACGTTCATAACGAACACGCTTAAAACGAACGGACGGATAAACGACCTTATTGATTGGTCTCGGCCATTTGCTTTATATGTGCTGTATGTATGCTTATAACGAAATGTGGTTATAACGAACTAAAAAAATAATGGTGCTTTTGAGTTCGTTATAACCGCAGTTTACTGTATTTGTTACCATATTGAACGACGCAACTCACAGTGATTGTTGTGTGTGTTACAGTGGGGGCAGCAGGACGCGCGCTGTAATCGTCTTCAGCTCTCTGACCTTCTTGTAGCTCCCATGCAGCATTGCACCAAACTTCCGCTCCTGCTCAATAACATCCGGAAGTACACAGCAGGCGAACTCGAGAAACAACAGGTGACGGAATCACTTGAGAAGGTCGAAACGTCGTTAAGTAAGTTGAAAAAAATTGAAGTATGTTGAGCTGTTTCACAGTGAGTGAGTATATACCCCGCTTTTAGCAATAACCAAGCACTATTTTGACGGAGACTACCTGAAAGGGTTTTACAGATTTGAAGGATTCAAACCGGGGGTTTTGGGGTGAGGACCGAAGGCGTTAGGCACTAGGCAAGCTGACCGTCACAGGCAGTGCCTGACATTGATGACAAAATATAGTTGATCAGATCATCTTTTGGTCAAGAATGTATTCGGAGTCATCACGTGGTTGTCTGGTTGCCTGCCGCCGTCGCACAGCAGAACTGCTGTTAGCGCCAGGCAACAAACACATACTTTTTTATGCAGTTTGTGAGAGTGGCGGGTGCTACCGGTAGATTACCCTTCTCGCAAAACTTGATGTCATCACTGATTTTCAGTGATCCATCCATACAATTTTCACGGCTGTTTTATCTTTCACGCCCGTTGGAATCTGTTTCGTCGGATAATCGAGACTGGTTAATCTCTGGCGTTGATGATTTATATTTTTACATGTTTAATTCTAACTATGTTTGGTTTGTTTAACACGGCGAAAATTAGCCAAAACACAGCGAAATAGCTTATTTATATTTATTTGTAATTGTGCAAAGGGTAACAAAGCGGTGTTAACACCAACTCACTCACTCACTCACTTGCCTCCCACATCAAGGTGACACATCGTGATGTAGCTATTATAGGCCTTTTACTCACTCACTCACTCACTCACTCACTCACTCACTCACTCAGCATATGGCCAACGTGAACTATCCCCCGTCATCTGGAACCACCATCAGATGGAGCACAGTTCCAACTCGTTATAGAAACGTCAGTATTCAGGATAAATCGATTTCGCCCAATATACCATTTGTTTTGTTCAGTCGAAGGCATGTGCAGCTATGCAGCTTTGATTCAGAATTGACGATGCTAAGTTTTCAACAAGATATAACAGTTCTACTTTTTGCACTACTTTCAAAACCGGAAACCACTCATGTTCGCATAATTGCTTGTCACAATCGCAGCACAGGGTATTCCATATTACTTGAGAAAAAAACTATGACAGGTATGGTTCGAGTGACAACTCAGCTGCTACTACCAACTTCACCAAAAAACTCTACAACCAAATTAGTTATTTGACAATGCTATTTAGCGAAGTGTGAACAGATACCTAAACTTACAAAGGAAACCCTGAAGCTTTTTTTTTAGTAACGCGGTTAAGCTGTGTTTTGTGAGACAGATATGGGTCGGGAGTGTGTTGGAAAGCCTCGTGTGTGTGTGTGTGCGTGCGTGCGTGTGTGTGTGTGTGTGTGCGTGCGTGTGTGTGTGTGTGTGTGTGTGTGTGTGTGTGTGTGTGCGTGTGTGTGTGTATGTATGTGCGCGCAATTCATCACTACACTTGGCCCCCGTTAGTCCAGACACTGTCAGTCTGGACACTCCACAATCTGAACGATTAACGCTGAGAGCGTGTACATATAAAAAGGTACTAACTCATGACTCGTTCATTCGGACATGTGCAAATTAGAACTGTGATAATCCGGAGACTGATAATCCAATCCGGACGATGTCACTGGGATCTATTCCGTCCGGATTAAAGGGGCTTAACTGTAACTATAACCTGACCTTATGCAGATATTGCCAATCAAGTTCCTGTCTGGTTTCTCATGAGGCGATTGCGTGGATGAATATTTGTTTGGTAGTCAAATGTGTATATAAGTTTGTCGTGGAAAAAAACAAAAAACAAAAGCGGATAACAAAGCATTCACAATCCTCTCGTGATTTGCAAATTGGCGTCATTACCGCATTGATAAAGGAGAGTGACTGTACCGCGACTTCATGACGTAAATTCACCAGCAGGAGTATCGTTCAAAACAGTTTAAGTTAAAATATATCCCCCTTAGAAAAAGTATGTGACAATGCGGCGGGGGTAATGCTTGTTTTACATTATAACTGATGGTAAGCGAGCGTCGTAAATCAACACACGTTACAAAAACCTATCTACAACAGAGATCCTCTGATTTCAACTTCGCTGTCTGGGTGATGTCACGAACACGTTACGTGAAAGCAAACAAATATGAGAATAATGACATTGAAAAATAGGGGATAACCGATCGTTTGATGATCTAGGGTGAGTGTGGGTGGGTGTGTGGGTGTGTGTGTTTCGGGGGAGGGGTGCTGATATATATATTTTTTTTAAATAAATAATTTTGCCTCAGGTTTAAGAAAATTAAATATTGTGAAAACAAAATGTTTGGCTCCATCCTCCAAAGGCAAAACAGTCATGACCAAAAAATGTCTCTTTCAACATTCCTAACGTTTACTCAGCTGACAAAATTATATCATTTACTCAGTTAATAGTCTAGAGGCAAGTCTAGATATGTGGACAGGACTCCATTCTCTTATAGGGACAACTTGTTATTTACATAATCTAGAACTTCTTATTTAAACTTATAATTATTGCCTTAGTGACTTGTGCAAGTCTAGATATCAGTCGGAGCCAATGTTCCCAAGACCAGTAGGGGATGTGACATGGCAGCTGACTGGATGTTTGTGTGTTACAGAGCAGCTGGAGGACAAGATGAAGTGGGTGAGGAACTATGAGCGCGTGCAGGAGATTCAGCAGCTGGTGGTGTGGCCAGCTGTCACCGACCTTGACCCCAGGGTCTACATACCAGAGGTCAGTCCACCAACAGGTGCTCGTCGTTCATGTGTGTTGTATATGTTTCCACGCTATGGGGAACAGATGGATATTGTTGACCAGAAGCTGAGAGATTAATGATTGAGTACGAACACAGCCCATACGTGTGAGACCTGGTGTTGACGTTGGCGTTGGCTCTGGCCCCTGGCGTTGGCGTTAGGGAACGATCATTTGATATTCTAGAGGGGGTGGATGGGGGCGGGGTCCTGGGATTTTATCAAACACATTAAGTGTCCCAGAAAATGCTTTAAAAAATATAATTGGGCTTCTGACTGTTGAAAAAAAGATGAAATTGTCAGCCACACAAAATACACTGACCAAGATGTTTTTTTCTATACATAAATGTCGGCGCTTAGTTTTATTGAAATAAATATCTGGTAGTGGTAGAGCGTCCGGCCGGAGAGCGGGAGGTCCGGGGTTCGTTCCCATACTGCGTCATTCCAAAAGCCGTTAAAGGTGGCGCTCGACATGAAGGGGCTAAAACTGGTCGGCTCGGAGTCAGTATACTGTGTTTGAGTGGGGTATTCATGTTAAATTGCGGCATGGTATCTTTGTGTTCTGGCACTCTAAAGGCGGCATTAGTTCGGACGATTACAAGCGCGCGCGGACGCACACACGCACGAACACACACACACACACACACACACACACACACGCACACACACACACACACACGCTGTATAAGTGCAAACTCTGACTCCATTTCGTCTTACCTCTAGAGGGTCAGTCGGGTAGCCCAGTGGTTAGAGCGTTCGCTCGTCACGCCGAAGACCCGGGTTCGATTCCCGACATGGGTACAATTTGTGAAGACCATTTCTGGTGTCCCCCGCCGTGATATTGCTGGAATATTGCTAAAAGCGGCGTAAAACCATACTCACTCACTCACCTCTATACTGGTATACTTCACAACAATTGAGTAAGGACCTGCCGTTGGATATTCTTACGGTAGGTGTGGTGGGGAGGGGGGAGGGGAAGTGTGTGAGATATTTTTGTTATTTTTTAGGATATTGTTTCTGTCACTCCCCCACTCACGCGATTCTTTTTTGTGTGTGTGTTTATACATTGCCAAGTATTGTAGCATTATTCCTCGTTTGCACTAAAACTCCGACACAGGGCTAATACAAGTGTTGTATATTGAGGTTTCAACCCTAATTAGATTGTCATAGCAACCACAATCAAGCCTACGCATATGAGTGTTCTTTGTTAACCCGATTGGGAGAATTGCAATATGGGTAGATTAGATACAAGATTTTATTACAAAATGACCTCATCTTGGAGGACAACAGCGAGATTCATGTGTTTTGCAGTTTGATCTCAAGGTCTACCACGCAGTTGTGGAATGTTATTGGAATATATGTCAACTTTTCCGACATTTGTTATTTATAAGGAAACGACCTTTACAGAAATATATTTTTCATCCAAATATGATATCGTGTCACATATTCATGTGCATTAGGGGTAATTCTGTCACCTATAAAATCTCACCTAACTTCATAAATATTCTATTTGAGAACGAACGAGATGTCCAAGACCATATTATCCCCCGGAATACGATAATGATATTGCCGAAAATAGGGCATAAATAATACTTGGGCACAACAAACTAGCAGTCTTCGTCCACGTGTATTAATCTAGGCCTCGGGGCAAAGTACCGTGTGAGGGAACTTCTTCCGCCTGGTCATGTAGTCCCTTGCGTTTCTATGATCGGAACACACTTCCCTGGGGAAGTGGTCAGGTTCATGGCTACAGACGCTAGGGGGTATGTCCAGTAAGTGACATGAGTATGTCTGGCCATTGTCCACGCACGGTTAGACCTGGTGAGATATTGACCCTGTCCGCAGAGAATCTTGTAATTCTGTTAACGAACGTGACGCTCGCGGTTCAATTCCTCAAGGCGTCATGGAAGGGACAAAAAGAGGTAATTTGGTCACAAATATACCGGAGGATTGGTTGCTATTCACAAAATCATCATCAGTTTGCCATTATGGGCGATTGCTACAATTATGGTAATTCAGGGATTGCCTCAAGACAGCTGACCACACCAAGAATGGCATGTCCGCCTTATTGGGAAAACTGCACTGAAAACCTACGCATTTTAAAGACCCGTAGCTTCAGAAATGTAAAATATTTAGACTAGCTTTTCATGCTACCGAATAAATATTTTCCTCTTAAAATGATAACTTCAAATAAGACTATCGTATAGAGAAACAGTCTAATGAATAAAATAAACGCATTCAGCGCATATCGAACAAGGTCTTAAAACCAGACATGCTCTATTGTATCACAGAACGGCATTAATGTAATATCATGAATGCATGCGCAGCTATTGTTTTTATTATAGTCTAATGTTTTTATTATAGTTTTATTATAGTCTAATTACAGTCTAAGTTCAGAAAGCCACGTCCTGTAAATTGTGTACCGAGACATATTTATGTATGGAGCATGTACCCAATACACAAACAACGTTGGGGCATGTCGCCTAAGGCGCCGCAATTCGTTGTGCAGAGTTGCGTCCCTTTGGTTTTCCAGAATCCTATGCTCGTGGGTTCGAATCCCAGCTCTCCCCGATTATGTTACAAGGTTGCCAGCACCATACCCGTGCTCGTAGGTTTCACCAAAGGGGTAAACGTTCAAGACCTGCATCACTTCGGGCTTTCCTCCCACATTAAGCTGACACGCCATGATATGACTGGAATACTGTTCAAAGCGGCGTTAAACCCAACTCACTCAGTCACAGCATGTTTCTTGTGCCACACAAAAGGTGTGTTAACTGTAAGACATTCAACGTGATGTACCATTGTCTGCCATAAAGTTTCTTTCATGCGTCCTCGATCAATAGATCAGGAAGGAAAATACAGATGTGCAGTACAAACACATCAGCGTTTGCATACACTGCTTGCATACAACACCGCCTGAAGCCAGTTTGTTTATGACACGCGACTGTTCCTGCATCTTCCGCGTTCATCTCCATCATCCCATGGGATTCACACATATGGAGGATGCATAATGATGCACACGCAATGCTGAAAGTTTATTGCCTGTAGTGTTTAAAAAAACATTATTGTGATAATATACCTAGGACCGTTTTCCGGTGCCAGTCAAATAAAATGGTTATTTGTTATTTATTGTTTATGTTAACAAAGACGACGCCCCCTATATCTGCTGTTGAAAACATGACCTTTTGGATATATTAACCTTCAAACTATCAGATTTTTGTTGAGCTACTTGTAGATTAAGTACCGTGTTTACAGTAGCGGGTTATTGTTTTTGTTTGTGTCTCTAGTTTCTTTCTTAAGACTTAATAGTTCGCTAACTGTTAAAACCTATGCTGTGTTATTTAGGACATTTTTTTAACTTTTATAATTATAACGTTTAATGGGCGGATACAGCTTTTTTTAAGATCTATTTATTGTCTTTGGTGGTAATTGATACAGAAATAAAGATTTTTTTCGAAATAAAAGGGGGGGGGGGCGGTGCGCACCCCCGCACCCCCCTCTGTATCCGCCCATGCGTTTGAACACTGAAAGTTAATGGCACCTCACATGTCGCCCCCGTTTCCGCTGTAAAGGTCTTCAGCAACCCACGCTTGCCGTAAAAGGCGACTATGCTTGTTGTAAGAGGTGACTAACGGGATCGGGTGGTCAGGATCGTTGACTTGGTTGATGCATGTCATCGTATCCCAATGTGTCTGTGTCTCCGTGTGTCTATATGTGGAGGGGTGCCTGCATATGAATACTCGCAAAAACACAACCTGATGCACTGACATATATATATATACCAAGCTCCTTCCCAGCGCGTGACACCTTGGTTACACTGTCAGTAACGGCGGCGGTCGGGTAGCCTAGTGGTTAAAGCGTTCGATTCCCGACATGGGTACAATGTGTGAAGCCCCTTTCTGGGGTCCCCCGCCGTGATATTGCTGGAATATTGCTAAAAGCGGCGTAATACCATAATACCAGATTGGTTCGATATTGCAGACTAACGGAAAATCAACTTCCCCTTAATTCTTACCATACCAATTACATGATAGTTGCAATGAAATATAATAATTCAAAGTTAACTGACAACAAAGAACATAATTTAGCAGGGGTAAGAGTATTCGGCGTCGCGGCAATCATCACTTGTTTGTAAACATGACTGTCAGTCGGTTGCGAGTTCAACTCCATGCATGGTTGATGCCATGCACAGTAGGGAGCATTGACTGGTGGCAGTGATAGTATAGAGGGCTCCGTGAACGGACTATCGCTGTGAGGAGCTTGTGTCAAAATATACAAAGGGGGTTTATGAAAAAGTCAAGGAATGTGCATACCACTAACAAATAATAAGTTTACACATTTATTTAACATTTGATGGTTTGTTTGTTTCAGTGCTTAAAGGCTACGTTGGGCAAGCAGCCGTGTGAGAAGCTTCTCGCTTGCACGAAGAGACAGCTCATGTATGAAGGCCAGCTGGCGCTGATTGGTACGCAACCCATCGTAATAATATCTATACGAATCGACATTCGTTCATACAGGGGGCACGAGTGACTCAGTCATAGGATTCTTCATGCCTCGCCCTGCCTTGAACGTCTTGGCCACCCTTGCTCCTCTTATGAGTGAGTGAGTGAGTGAGTATGGTTTTACGCCGCCTTTAGCAATATTCCAGCAATATCACGGCGGGGAACACCAGTTATAGGCTTCACACATTGTACCCATGTCGGGAATCGAACCCGGGTCTTCGAACGCTTTAACTACTAGGCTACCCGACCGCCCCGCATTAAAAATAAGTGTAAAGTATAGTGTATAGTAAAAGTTAATTATCTAAAATAGTTTCCTATCATGTATAACATTATGATGTCTGCTTTTTAGAGTGGTGCGTGACTACAAGTATTCTACCCATTGTTTCATACGCTTTGTGGAATGGTCTTAAAGTCTCAGCAATGGCATTGTTTGTCAGATGATGCCAATGTACTCTCACTCAACACCCTTTTTGTTTCAGAAACGACCAAGTCTGTAGAGGTGCATATATTTGTTTTTGATGACATTTTGCTGATAACCAAGATGAAAAAAAGCCCAAGAAAGGTACATATGCGTTTTGCAGTACGACTAATGCACACATAAATTGTGTAAATGAAACAGAAAGTATTAATTCATTCACAAGAGAAGTATCTAAACAAATGAAAGAAGCGAGAATAGCCCAACCATTGCCTAATACCTTATTCGTGGTTTTCAATTTTTCAATTAATTCAAAATATCACCTTTTAAATCAGAGTTAACATAACGTCTTGACTTGTGATTCTTGAAGTGCGTTAGCCTGCAACAAACATGTGCTTAACTGGCATATGTCAGTGTGGGATATTCGCCCAGACCACCAAACGCAACAGCTCGTAATCCGAAGGTCTAATAGCTCATTTGCACTGACACACGCGGATATAACTCTCGCATTACTGTCAAAGAAATTTTCAAATACATATCGCTTGCAAATATTCGATTAGTACCGACTGGCTTACTTCGTGTTGCTGTGAAATACGCCCGGAATGAGACAGGGGTGTTCTATAAGTCTTCAATTATTAGTGTCATGGGCAGAAGGCTCCATGGGAGACAATCCAATCGGCCTCCAATCCCGTGGAGGTGGATGAGCAGAAGCCTGCCCCCCCCCCCCCCCCCCCCCCCCCCCCTCATTTGATAAGCGGTCATGTCAATTATCATCAGTACAAAGAATAATCATTTAATGGACATATCGGCAGCAAAATGCAATATTATGTTTAACATATATACGGTCAATGGCCTCAGGTTACGACTGATGAATACACAAAAGAATGTGATGGCATTGAGTCATGGGTTTATTTGTTTATTGGGTGCTGTGTGGGATTTTTAAAAATAGAAAACTATCATAACATTAGCCTGCTTGAAGGCTCGTTAATAAACACACCTGACACAATCGGGTCATAAGCTGTACAGTACACCTGCGGGGGTGATTTGAGTGATGGTGCACGCCTTGTGATCGCCTCATCCAAAGCTAATCTGAAAGTAGTTTTGTCAGTCTTGTGTGCTTTAGTAGGAATTCCACAGATCCATATTTCTAGTGTTTGCTTTGTATGAGTGAGTGAGTATGGTTTTACGCCGCTTTTAGCAATATTCCAGCAATATCACGACGGAGGACACCAGAAATGGGCTTCACACATTGTACCCATGTCGGGAATCGAACCCTGGTCTTCGGCGTGCCGAGCGAACGCTTTAACAACTAGGCTACCCGACCGCCCCGGAGTCACTTTGGAGTCACATATATCATACAAGCATAATATTCTGACCCTTCCTTAACCCTTTCCGTTATTAAGTTGTGTAGAGACATTTGACTTGGTGTGGACAATGACAGGTAAACAGTCATCCCATTGGAGCTTCCACGTTAGATTATACTCCAACCAGTTTATTTTTGTCAGAAGGGGCGACTTGTTGATCGGGTGGTCAGGCTCTGCGACTTGATCCCGACGGCGTGGGGCGTTGCTCATTATATCAATCACTGATTTGTCCGATCTAGGCGTGCATGCGTACAGAATGTCGTCATAAAGCTGGAGTATTGCTGAGTGCGGCGTTAGTGAATATGCAAACGGTACACTGTTGTTTGTTTGTATGATATTTGGCTGCACGTACTCGTAGTTCACGATTCGTGAGGCCGCCTCCGTGGTCTAGTGGTAGAGCGTTCGCCTGGAGAGCGGAAGGTCCGGGGTTCGATCCCCGGCGGCGGCATACCAAAAGACGTTAAAAGATGGTACTTGTTGTTACCCTGTATGGGGTATTCATGTTAAACTGCGGCATGGTATCTCAGTGAGCTAGCTCTTTAAATCGGCATCAGTCCGGACTAGTACAAGCAGCCACACAAACACACACACGTACATGCACGTCGCTATATAAGTGCAATAATCTTGGACGCGACGTTAAACCCCATTTCAACTCACCTCATGATTGGTGAGACCGTGAAGATCCGGGGTAGAATAGGTCTTCAGCAACCCATGCTTGACGTAAAAGGCGACTATGCTTGTCGTAAAGAGGCGACTAACGGGATCGGGTGGTCAGGCTCGCTGACCTGGTTGATGCATGTCATCGTATCCTAATTACGTGGATCGATGCTCATGATGTCAATCACTGGACTTGATTATTTATAGACCACCGTCATATAGGTGGAATATCGCTGAGTGCGGCGTTAAACAACAAACAAACATGATTCGCGAGTTTAACCGGCCGATAGTGTTGTATCCTCACAAAGGAGCCGAGAGTTGAGTATGGCTTACACCGCTCCTAGCATCTTAAGTCTGTTCTATATGAACGCACTATATAAATGTACTTTTAAAGTTGTGTAGTGAGTAAGTGAGTTTCTAGGTCACATCGGCAATAAAATGACAGTTGTATAAAGTTCCATAAGCGTTGTAACACAATCTTCAAACATTACCATTTGTAACTCAAGTACATACAGTGCTAATCGTTTTTGTGTCAGTTGAAAAGATATATGCTTCACTCTCAGATGACATATTTAACGATTTCTAACGTCAGTTGTTGACGTTTAAGTGAAAATAAATAAACAGATGAAAAGGAAATATTTAAATTTTTACCGTAACATTTAAGTTGATCGAACTACAAATAGTATTTGGAATAAAATCCGTTGGAGATGTCACAGCAAAAGTTGACTGAGTTATAGAAATACAATATGTCATGGTGACCAGGGATGTTTGAATCTCTGCCACTCAGTAAACGAACAACCTTGGTTCAGATAAAGTAGGTCGCGTCAGTAGATGAAGGAGGCAAATATTTCTTGTGTACAGGAAGTTAAATGAAATGTCAGTACAGATTGAAGATAATGTAAGTCATTTTATCAGGCAATGTGATACAATCAGGGTGGCTTGACCTAAGTCAATGGGAATGAACAGAACTTTAGAAGTTTTAAGATATTCTGAAATATCTTAAAACTTCTAATATTCTCTTCATAACTCTTGGATATACTCTACGTATCTTAGAAGGCTGTGTATGCTTGCGTGATACCTAATATGTGAAATATAACTACAAGTGCTGCTGTGTATCCTGTTGTTCAATGATAGGCCATTTTCTTACATTTCAGAAACAGTCTGTGAACGAGGTGAGCACCAAGTCGCCATCTAGCAGTCAGGCAGACAGATGCACATACACCGTGTACAGACAACCAATCGCCTTAGACAGATTCAACATTCATGACGTCACTTCCGTTGATGCTGCTGGTGGGTTTCGTGTTCTGAATACTAATACTTCCACTACTACTTCTACTGTACATATGAATATTACGACACTACAACGACGACTACTAAAACTACTACCACCACCACTACATCTACTACTACTACTACTACTACTACTACTACTACTACTACCACGACTAATACTACCACTGCTATTGCTACTAGTACTACTACTACTACTACTGTAATTATAAATGTTACAACATTACTACTACTACTACCACTACATCTACTACTACTATTACTACTACAACCATGACTACTACTACCACGACTACTACTACCACTGCTATTGCTACTACTACTACTACTTCTACTACTACTACTACTGTAATTATGAATGTTACAACATTACTACTACTACTAATACTACCACGACTACTACTACTACCACTACTACTTCTATACTGACCCGTGAATTTCCGGGGTAGAATAGGTCTTCAGCAACCCATGCTTGCTGTAACAGGCGACTTTGCTTGTCGTAAGAGGCAACTAACGGGATTGGGTGGTCAGGCTCGCTGACTTGGTTGATGCATGTCATCATATCCCAATTGTGTGGGTCGATGCGCATGATGTCAATCACTGTACTGTCTGGTCCAGACTTGATTATTTACAGACCGCCGTCATATAGATGGAATATTGCTGAATGCGGCGTTAAACAACAAGCAAACAAAATATACTACTACTGCTACTACTACTACTACTACTACTACTACTACTATTACTTCTACTACTACTACTACTACTACTACTACCACTACTTCTACTAATTTCTACTACTGTAAATTCTGATGAATCTTAAGAAACTGTACCATGTTTCAAATGTCAATCAATTAAGTTACCTTTCTGGGCCCACTTACACAAAACGATCTTAGCGCTAAGACTACTGTAAGCCTGTGTTAAAGTATGGGAGTTAAGATCATCTTAGCGCCAAGATCACTTTGTGCTAGTGGGCCCCGGATATGTTCAACTCCTTTTGTAGAAGGTAGTTCGCTAAACAAACATCTGAATGAAGTAAACATTGTACTTCCTTGTTAGTCATTTATTATATGTTAGGGACCGGTCATTTTTTATATGTTAGGGACCGGTCATTTTTTATATGTTAGGGACCGGTCATTTTTTATATGTTAGGGACCGGTCTTCTTTATATGTTAGGGGACCGTCATTTATTATATGTTAGGGACCGGTCATTTTTTATATGTTAGGGACCGGTCATTTATTATATGTTAGGGACCGGTCATTTTTTATATGTTGGGGACCGGTCATTTTTTATATGTTAGGGACCGGTCAGGGATTATATGTTAGGGGCCGGTCATTTTTTAATGTTAGGGATCAGTAATTTATTATAGAGGTCAAAGGGAATCAGAGAAGAGTCACGTTAAAATATGACGGGCTCTGGGGGAGGTATATAAAATATTAATACACATATTTCGGTAGGGTCAAGAAGAAATTGACATTTAATAATGAAACATAAAGTGCTTTTGCATTATATCTTTTCGAGAAAGAAAATTGGGAGTGGCTTGAAATAAATATGACAAGCATTATTGAAACGTCATTATTTTCAGTACATTGGTGCAAAAACCCTCTGAGTCACCCAAGGCACCCCTGTAATAAATGACCGGTCCCTTACCAAAGCCGTTCGTGAGATGAGCGCTTTTTACTCGGCGTTAAATCCAACTCATTCACACAACTTGTACCATCAACATTTGTGTTTTCAGCCTGCGGCTTAAAGAATATTTTCGTACTGGTTCAGTTCAGCCGCTTTCAACAAATCATCGGCGTCTACACACTACAAGCCTCTTGTGAGGCATCTAAGGTAGGTAACCGCTGGTGTCAGAAATCACACCGATTTATCCATTCGTCACCACTCGCCCCTTTCCGTCACCTCCGAGAAGACTCGTCCTCCCAATGGATGAATGTTATGTGCGAAAATACGACAAACCAATCAGCATTCGCGTATGACTTCAAGTACTTCGGCCAAAGAATCCCTAAGGGATAATTTGTTATTTTATATATGTCTTGCACTTAATATGTACCCAAGGTACAGTTCAATATGTTCAATCATACTGTAAAGTACTGTAAGTTCCGATGTGATTCAAATAGCATCTGGAATATACTCGATACATTACGCAACGAGTAGACCATTCTTTTAGCTATGCCCGTTTGCGCTTAGACGGAACCCAGTCGCTAATATGGCGGCGAGAGGGGATGAGTCGCTATTCGGCCTTCCCGGAACAATACGAGTTGGTCACGAATGTGATTTATCGACAAACAAAAGAAAGGGCTGACACGATCTTACCACAATACACATCATTTGACGCCAAGGTGCCATCTTAACACGTGCAAGCAATTTCATAATAACGGTACAAGTATCTACATACCTACTGTTTACAACCAGAAAGCTAAAAAAGAATATCTATTTCTCTGAAATCTAGGACAGTATTGCTTTCACAACCAGCAACAGCAGTTCAGATAAATCAACTAAAAATACCATTTTTCATGGGAGCTGTTTGGACGTGTGTAATTTCAATCAAAGTTTCTTGATGCAAACACATTCTCACTGTCGAAGGAAAAACTATTCACGAAGGGTTCATGAATCGTTAGGTAACACATGTATGATCAGTATAGTGAAATTAAAGTAGTTAATAGCGCCTCGGCGGAGCTATGAAAGGAACTTTCGTTCCGGTGTATGTTTCACTGGCGCTTTACACTCCCGTAGCGACATCGTGGTAGAAACATTACCCATAAAAGAGGGGGATATAAAAATTCCGGTGCTGTGAGAAGGGTCCTCCTCCTGACACGGGTGCGAGGTGTCGTTATCAGCCTTCAACATCGTCGGTGCAGTTTGAAAAGAACCACGAAAGTTGCCATACTACATGAGTGTTAACCTCTTTGCTGCGTGTGCTGCATGACCATTTCGTCGACGTAATTGTACTTATCTCATACTTACTGGTAAAAAATCTACCTCAGACTTTTCTTTGTTTGTGCCTAATGTAATTATGATTTGACATTTGCTGTTAATGTTTAAAACACGTGCCAGAAGCATATTTTTTTCTGATCAAAAAGTATTTCCCTGCCTAGCAATCCCCAAAACATTGACGAGATACACTATTTTTGCTCATAGAGTATTGATGAGGGTTATTCGAAGATTTCACATGATGAAGAAAGGTTATATGTCTAGTTAAAAGACTTCCCCACATGCCTGAAGAGACCGGTAACTGGGACAATGGCTCCTTCATGTGCAAAAAATGAGGACTATGCCCAATTAGATATAAGTAGCGTTGTGTGTGAAACTCGGTCATTTTGTTAGGCGAGGTGAAATGGGGTTTAACGTCGCGTCCAAGATTATTGCATTTATATAGCGATGTGCACGTGTGTGTGTCTGCTTGTACTAGTCCGGACTAATGTCGGTTTTTATAGTGCTAGCCCCCTGTGATACCATGCCGCAGTTTAACATGAATATCCACTCAGACACAGTATACTGACTCCGAGCCGACCAGTCCTTGTTTTAGCCCCTTAATGCCGAGCACCGGGCAGGGTAACAACAAGTACCATCTTACACGTCTTTTAGTATCGATCCACCGACCTTCCACTCACCGGGCAGACGCTCTATCCACTCGACTACAGACGCGGTTCCCATTCTCTCTGAGTAATAAAAGAAATCGTTACTTAGTGGATATAAAACATGTTTTTAAAATGAAACAAACAAGAAATGGTTATTCGATGGTGATGTATTTGATTCGGGTTTCAATAAATGTTTAGGTTTTTTTACCTTCAGTGTTTCGTTGAGTTTTCAGCCTATACGTTTGATAACGTTTGTAATGTTTTGACCAAATCTAATTTTCAAGTGTATACTTTCTTTTTCCGGCAGTATATATCTTAAAATTTTAGTTGGCAGAATAGAATGGGTGATTTTTTCTAATTACTTTAAATGTTTTTTTGCAAGAGCCTTATGATGTCTGTTGTGATTTATTTGCAGTCCACGTGGCTTTCTCAAATCCGCGAAGCTAAGGAAAAATACAGCGAGCGGGAGACGAGTCGCCAGAATTCCTTCAAGGAGAACCAAGACCCGAGGGTAGAGCCTCCAGTCCGCTCCCCTCGACAGATGAACAGGAACACTGCCATGAGAAGGATACACGGAAAATCAAGGTCGATGGACGCCATGTTTTTGTGACACTAATAAGGAAGTGACGTTTAGCGAAACATGTGTGACGTCATGCTCATATTTCGATGACGTATACAGGACCAAACACATAAACAGAGTTGCATTTGTGCGGTGTCAAGAGGCGAAGGTTTGGTGCTTGGTCATAATAATTCTTAAAATAGCCACAGATTTGTATGAAAGGGGAAGTAACTCTTGGACTCGAGTTCCAAGGGACACGTGGTGGACCTAGTCAAATTTCAAAGTAAGACCATCATTTTAAGACATCGCTTTTACGCATCTGTCGCAACTTTATTATATTTTTCTTTTCAATTTAAAACAAAATCCGTTAACCAAGTACCTAAAAATCCAATCTCATTAAAATCAGATCTTAGTTCTCGCTACTACCGCTAAACAAAGATCTTTGTTCAGCGGTAGCGAGGACTAAGGTCTGTTGAAAATGAGAATGCTAAAAATCACACGATCACAGAGAGACCATTGATATTTTAATTTAACATTTTGATTTACGAACTTGTTGACACGTGCATTATGTTCAGGCAGATATAACAGGTATATTGATTATATTATGAGTGCTACAGAGGGCTAACGGAATACTTTAAACACAAACATATACGCGTGCGTGTAGTTTTAGTATCCACGCGCCACATCACACCTGCAATGCTAACGGTACCACCATGACAAAAGGGTTTAATCTAGTGCTGTTAGGGTGCACGGGTTGCCCAGTCGTCGAAGGCGCCGCGATTCGCTGTGCAGAGTTGCGTCCCTTGGGCCCGCCAGAAACCTAGGATTGTCCCAATTATGTTTCTAGGTTTGTCGGCACCATACCCGTGCTCGTGGGTTTCACCGAAGTGGTAAACGTCTGAGACCTGCATCACTTTGGGCTTTCCTCCCACATTAAGCTGACACGCCGTGATATAACTGGAATACTGTTAAAAGCGGCGTTAAACCCAACTCACTCACTCACTGGTGCTGTTAATTGTTCAAAAATAAAACAAATATAATTCGTTAAAGTTACGTCTTCAAACTACTTAATCAGGTAATTTGTGTTGAAAGAGTCTTGTCGACAATATTGATGTGATATGCAAACTAATATGCATGAAGTTTGCATGAAGAGTATAGCAATTCGAAAAAACGCGCCGTAGAGCTATCTACACTGGCTTTTTGGGGGTGTGCGTTATTGTAAATGGTAACATTTTCTGATCAATTCATAAACTGTAATTGTTGATTGAAATTTAAACCACAGAGTAGCACAGTATTTTCCCATTTTTCTGTTGTCTCCTAGTTGAATTTTCCTTTCTTCAGCGATGTTTTGTTACGTATTCTTTGTGGCCGACGTGCAGCCTCTTATTTAGTCTCGCGCGAGTTATGTCCCTTGAACGCGATTTATGTTTTCAACGACTTGCTTAATATTTATTACAGCGTATGAAATTTTAAGCCAAAATTTAGTATCGTGCTATTGATTGATACCAGGTCTGATTAAGGATTTATTTTTAAGGCTGAACATATGTATTTATAATCATCTTTCTATTATTTCATTTCACATGCGGACAATTTGATAATTCAATCAAAGCTTAATATGTAACGGTTATGTAAAATGGCCAAAGAAAACATGTCGCTTGTGGGCTAATGGGCGAGTAGTTTCAGGCGAGGTTCCACATGTATTCATGTGCTATGGAATTGGTGGAATATTGCTAAAACTGGAGTAAATCCATAAGCATCGACATTTCGAAACTCAAAAATAGGCCATTGTCATTTGAAACTGAGCAAAACTCGTCATATTCTTTCGTTTTCAACTTTGTTCTGATTTTGTTCGTACAGTTTACACTCGTGTGGCATCTAAGCCGTACAAGAAGATAAATATATTTGTCTTAGCAATATATCTTTTTATTGTTTGTCTCTTATGAGGTCTGCACAATTGCTCAACGGTCCTAGAACTTTTGTTTATTTTTAAGAGATAATTTTATCTGCTCAGATATTTCTACAGTGAGGGTACGACTATTTATTGTAATCACCATTTATTGATCAATTCCTGTTTATGTTTTTTTGACATGTTTTTGTCAACCCTTGGTGCATTGTACATAGATTTTTATAACCATAATCAAGTAAATCGTACGTCATGCCTAGTCCTACCATATTAAATATTTCAGAGCGATCATCTCGCATAAGTTCGTTACGAAATAATACAATACAGAAGTAAATGTATGACTAATGCGATGCTAACGGGTCGCTTTGATCGTCTAGTAACGGTAAAGCGAAAGGGTATAACAGTAAACATTGAAAACCGTTACTCGGGTCCCGGGCACCTGCATCTAAGCGATCGCGAGTACTGTTAGAATCACCTCCTTGTATAGTAGGGGCATTGCCCCGTGAATAATTTGTTTTAATGATACGGACATTTGTTCATAAAGAGTCCAGAATGAAAGGGTTTCTGTGTATAAAGTATCGTTTATAGCCGATGCCGTGCCCATTCATTTGATGTTCAGAAAGGTGCTGTTGTGTTTGTGATAGCTCAGGTCAAATGACATCATTAATTTTAAGAAATAGATGCTCCGACTAAATTGTTATAGTTCAGCGTGATAGCTCTTTCAGAACTTCTAAACTATTCAAGCTAGTGATCTGGTAACTTGTGCGTTAAGTTCAAAGACATAACACGCTAGAGAATAACTCGTCTCGATTATCCGACGATAATCCATTGAGCTTAAACGACAAAATAACGGTAAAAACAATACGATCAGGATCACTGAAAAGCAGTGATAATACCAGGTGTTCGAATTATCACAGACATTTCTAAAGGTTAAAACGTTAAGCATTGGTCTCCCTTATCGAGATGAATCTCCCCAGCCTTTTGCTTTGAGCTGCGGGAAATCTTCTTTAGCCTTGTGTTAATAGGACAGAAGCCACTACGGTGTGCACAGAAACACCATCTATTAGTTATGCCATTGTGCTGGAATCGGTTTGGAGAGAGTACCAGGGAGCTCTGTTTGTTATTTCGTTATTGCAATGTATTCTTCACACCTGTCTCCTGTATCTGTGATTCTGGTTGCCATGGCGATGCAAAAATCATTCCATTGTTACAAGACCTTTTCCAGACTTTTTTGTGCTTTGTTTTCATTGGTTGGAAACCCGATCCTATCGTTTTTTACCCTGCTTGATATGGGTACAGATTATTTTGGGGTCAAAAAATGAATAATGGACAAAGGAGTTTGGGATGGGAGGTTGTTTATGTTGGTGAATGTTCACAGCGTAACGTGGGCACTGCACGATTCTGTAAACAGTGAGGGTTCATTTTGTACATACTGTGTAAAAATGTTAAGATGTAAATTATATAGTTGTGTACTGTTGATAATTTTGAAGAAAAAATAAATAAACCTGATATTTTAATATTTTGTTTGCTTTTGAATTATCTACATGTACCTTACCTTCCAACACCCTGTTATGAAGTGGGGCTGTGGGTAGTCTAGTGGTTAAAGCGTTCGCTCGTCACACCGAAGACCCGAGTTCGAATCTCCACATGGGTACACTGTGTGAAACCCTTTTCTGGTGTCCCCCGCCGTGATATTGCTGGAATATTGCTAAAAGCGGCGTGAAACTCACTGACTTATTGTAGTAAGAAGCGACTAACGGGATCGGGTGGTCAGGCACGCTGACTTGGTTGATGCATGTCATCGTATCCCAATTACGTGGATCGATGCTCATGTTATCAATCACTGGATTGTCTGGTCAAGACTCGATTATCTATAGACCGCCGTCATATAGCTGGAATATTGCTGAGTGCGGCGTTAAACAACAAATAAACCAAACTAAATCTTACAAACATACTACAGTGCTGCAATCATTCTCCCCACAATATGTCAACACAGTTATGATGCATTGTGCATGATGCATACAACTGATTTACACTAAAGTGTTTCATAAGTTTTGTTTCACACTTTCGGGGCGGTTTTGTAGTCTAGTGGTTAAAGCGTCCGCTCGACACACTGAAGACCCGGGTTCGATTCCCCACATAGGTACCATGTGTGAAGCCTATTTCTGGTTCGTTCCTCTGCGGTATTGCTGGAATCTTGCTAAAAGCTGCGTAAAACCACCAGTCACTCACTCACTCACTCACTGTAACATACTTTCAGCTGCATTACGACGTTGCTACAGCTTTACTGCAGTGTCCAACAGTGCTGCAGCAGCATTGCTACAGTCCTCCAACTGTGCGCAGCAACATCTCTGTAGCCTGCCCCACTTCACTGATGCGGCGGTCTTACTACCGTGTTCTTGAAATTTCAACTTACTATCTTTAAATTACAAAATTCTATGTTGCAATTTCAAGATACTAAGTTGGAAATTCAAGATTCATACGTTGAAATTTCAAGTTATTATCCTGAAATTTCAAGATAATAAGATAAAATTTCAAAATAATAAGTTGAAATTTCGAGGTATAACATAACATCTTGAAGTTTAACTTATTATTGAAATTTCAGGATCATTAAGTTGAAATTTCAACTTGATATATATCTTGAAATTTCAAGAAAAACAAATGGCCATAAAAGGCTACCGTAGAATTGTTTTAGTAACAGTGTAACAGTAATTACACCACGCCTTTTCAACAACATCAATACCGACAGCTGTGCACTGTTGCTTGACGCAGATTCATACGTTGAAACATACGTTGACATTCCAAGTTAAAATCTACAAATTTGATCTCATCTTGAAATTTCAAGATATTGAGTTGAAATTCCGAGATAAGTTAAAATTTCAAAAAATAATAAGTTAAAATTTCAAGTTATTATCTTAACATTTCAACTTATTATCTTGAAATTTCAAGATCATTACCTTGAAAATTTTAAATTTGTATATGTCTTGAAATTTTAACTTAGTATATATCTTGAAATTTCAACTTAGTATCTTGAAATTTCAAGAAAAACAAATGGCCCTAATAGGCTTCCGTAGAATTGATTTGTAACAGAGTAACAGTAATATTACCACGCCTTTTCAATAACATCAATACCGACAGCTGTGCAGTGTTGCTTGACGCGTCGTCGTGTACCAGGCAACCCGACTTCCAACCATCACATGCACAGCATGCATGTCGCCAGCTGCTACAAGAAGATGTAGGTTAGTGCTGTTGTCGATTTTAGTCGACTGCTGATACTTTTGAGTGCTCAGTAGGTAACTAGAAACAATTAGATGATATTATCACGTATTTGAGTGTTTGTTGTTTAAAAACGCCCTCAGCAATATTCCAGCTATATGCCGACAGTCTGTAAATAACTGAGTCTAGATCAGACAATCCAGTGATTGATATCATGGACAACGTGCCACGCCGTAGGGGTGGGGGGATAACTTACAATCAGTCAAGTCACCGAACCTGAACACAGATCCATTTAGACGTACCGGGCAACAGTTCTAACCCTGATTTCCCGCAACCGAATCGACCGCCTCCGTGGTCTAGTGGTAGAGCGTCCGCCCGGAGAGCGGAAGGTCCGGGGTTCGATCCCCGGCCGCGTCATACCAAAAGACGTAAACAGATGGTACTTGTTGTGACCCTGTCTGGCGCTCGGCATGAAGGGGCTAAAACAAGGACTGGTCGGCTCGGAGTCAGTGTCTGAGTGGGGTATTCGTGTTAAACTGCGGCATGGTATCTCAGTGAGCTAGCACTATAAATCGGCATCAGTCCGGACTAGTACAAGCAGCCACACAAACACACACACGTACATGCACGTCGCTATATAAGTGCAATAATCTTGGACGCGACGTTAAACCCCATTTCACCTCATCTCACCGCAACCGCCTCCGTGGTCTAGTGGTAGAGCGTCTGCCCGGAGAGCGAAAGGTCCGGGGTTCGATCCCCGGCCGCATTAAAAGTTGGTACTTATTGTTACCCTGCCTGGCGCTCGGCATAAAGGGGCTAAAACAAGGACTGGTCGGCTCGGAGTCAGAGTACCAGTGTCTTAGCCTGGATTCTTGTTAAACTGCGGCATTGTATCTCAGAGAGCTGGCCCTATAAAATCGACAAGCAGCCACACACACACACACACACACACACACACACACGTGCATGCAAACCCCATTTCACCTCGCCTCACCTCATTTCACACGGGGGCGGCACGATGTAATTGTGTTTCACGACGTAGTTAGAAATATGTCCACAGGCAAAAAAGTAAGTGATCACCTCAATTAATTGAAAACAAGACGTTGTATTAATTATGATGACACGAACTACACATGCAACTGCCTACGCAATAAACATGTGGCCTCGACAAACGAGGATAGCTTTATTCCGTAATGCGTTTAATATTTTTTTAAATACAGAAATGATTCCATTTTTTCCTATTCGGACCGCTGTATATGTCTGTTAGGGATTGAAGATACCCTATTACCCGTAACAAAAAAATCCGTAATTGTAAACAGCTCTGATGAAAGCTGTTTACATTTATTGATTCCGACTGACATATGCATAAGCATGTGGGTTTGAATCACTATCAAGTTGTGATGGTACTAGCTGTTCGCGAAAAGTAGCGTATCGTCAAATTTGGAAATGCCCTCAACACGTATACCATAAAACGTTTTGAAAGTTTACTGGGGCATCGATACGGAAGCCTTTTAGGGCCATTTGGGTTTTTTCTTGACTGTTGTAACCCTGATGAAACAACTTTTGAGCACGACGTTATCTCTCGGTTGGCCAAGTATTGTACCGTGTCTGAATTAGCTGTGAGTCGTGTCCCTTGGCTCTAACAGGATCCAGGATCTAGAATCCAAGACTCCCCCGATGATCATGCTAAGTTTGTGTGTCCCTGTGTTTATGAGCTTTACCACAATAATAAAGGTGTAAATCCCCCCCCCCCCCCCCCCCCCCACACACACACACACACACACATTACTCTGAACCTCCGTGATATATCTGGATGCTGTTCAAGCCGACGTTCACATTTTAAACCTCCATCTTGTCTCCCTATCTCTTGCCAACATCAGAAACTGTGAAGCACAGAAGCGCTGAACTCGAACATGTAAATACAACAAATACACGCGTCAGTTACTCTTTCAAATATAAGTATTGAACCCCTACAGTCACTCTGATCCGAAACCCGACGCTCATATGACTGTTAACCGCCTGGCAGTCGTTGAGAGATTAGCTAACGGCTGTCACGTCAGTGTACTTTGGGCGAGTCTGTGTTGTCAATATTGCATCGCGGAATAATACCCATATATTTGATTGGCAACAGCCTGTATTGATTAATATCAACACACTGTCGTCCTTGTCTTGTCGCCCGTAAGTTGATATCATTAATAACTATGAATAATATTAAGTTTAATCAATACATATAACCTATCCTCTGTAATGTGTTGCAAGATAAGTCAGAGTGTGACGCGTGGATTTGACTCAACTAGATCCGTTGTGAATTCATCCTTCTTGAGAGCGGGGTATTTCGACATGACGCGTGGATTTTGACTCAACCAGATCTGTTGTGTACTCAACCTTCTTGAGAGCGGGGTATTACGACATAACGCGTGGATTTTGACTCAACTAGATCTGTTGTGTACTCATCCTCCTTGAGAGCGGGGTATTTCGACATGACGCGTGGATTTTGACTCAACTAGATCTGTTGTGTATTCATCATCCTGGTGAGCGGGGTATTTCGACATGACGCGTGGATTTTGACTCAACTAGATCTGTTGTGAATTCATCCTCCTTGAGAGCGGGGTATTTCGACATGACGCGTGGATTTTGACTCAACTAGATCTGTTGTGTATTCATCATCCTGGTGAGTGGGGTATTTCGACATGACGCGTGGATTGTGACTCTGTGGGTTCAAGATGAGGCTATCCCGGCTATCTGTGGTGCAGTGGATCTTTGTTGTGACCTTTACGATGTGGAGCTACAGGTGTGTGCTCAACCTGCTCCAGCTGCAGTGAGTAGTACATCTTTGTTTACAATCTGGAAGTAACATTCAGCAATTTCACTGACGAGTCGGGATGGGTATTGGCGGTTTATAATGTATCACAATAGTTTGCGATGCACAAGACCGTATTGCGATACGTATCACGATATATTGTACAATTTTAAATTTTGGATTCATCAGCAATCTGAAACATGAACTGAAATGGAACAAAACAAGATGCTGGTAGAACAGGATGTTTATTCAGTCAATAAATACGTAGCAATCTTGCGGCGCCGGATGCTTGCTGCGGGGCAGCGAAGGCATTTGGCCGGAAAATTATTTTTTTTACATTAAAAACTCGATATTGACTCACCCGATATATCGAGCATGAAAACATGATATCGTGATACGTATCGTGAAAAGAATGAATCTCAATTTATCGATATACCGATATCCCTTGCTGACGAGTGAGATGTCCTCACAAATTTATTGTTATTTAGTGTCATAATTAACAGTGTATCTATTGCGTTTTGCATTGTCTCTGCATCTCTGCATATTGACACTCGGGATGTGTCGGTTTTGACTGATTGCCGTGCTACACATGTTTCGTTCAGACATGTCGATCTAAAAACATGTCTCTCCAGCAAGAATGGCGACGTACCTCACGTGACGTCATCAGAAGACTTTTTCTGTGAGCCGGAGAGTTTTGGCGTGTCTTGTTGCAGGGGGTGGTCATACCGCTATTAATGTGACGTGTCATTATTTTTTTTTATGTTTTAGATGTGTTTCCTTCGTCCATTAAGGGGCCGTCACACCATGACGTTCTGGTCAACGTTCTCTGAACATTTCAATCGTTCAATTTTTTAGCGTTCTAGAATGAGGATGACACATCTGGCGTGTGATTAACGTGTGCCTAACGCATGACTAGCGTGTGTCTAACGCACGAGAAGCGTGTAACAGCGACCAAGTAAGATACCCCTGAAAACCATTAGCGTGTGCTAACGTGCCACTGGCGCGCGACGAACGATTTGTCAACGTTAGACGAGCGTGTTGAGCGTGTGACTAACGTGTGAATAACGACAGAATAGCGTCTTGCTGGCGTGTTTGACTTTAGACACGCTGCGTGCGCTAGGGGACCGTTCAGCGGTCGTTGACAGGTCGCCAGTGAGTCGTTCAATGCAAAGCAAACGATTAGTAACAACCAAGTAACGCTAGAGTAACGACTGACTAACGATAGCCGAACGCGTGCAACGCTCGGCGAACGTTAGTAAAACGTCCACGAACGTTCTTAAACGTTCTTCAGCGTTTTAAATTAAACGTTGAAGAACGCTGGTCTCAGTGAGAACTTTTGTGCATGTTCAAAACTTTTTTCCGGACCAGCGTTCTCCGCCGATTCCCGGCGATCACCGACGTTCACTAGCGTTCACACAACGCTCTTCTGGCGCTATCCCAGCGACCATGGGCGACTACCAACGTTTCCTCAAACGTCATAGAACGCTGACCAGAACGTCATGGTGTGACGGCCCCATTACGTTGAAAGCTTGTTTTTGCTACCCCATTCCAATAACGGACATGCCAATATCGGATGCTGAATTTAAATTTTAAATGTTGATTTCGTTGAGATTTTTATGTTTTCAATACATTTTACTACATATAGCTATCTTTCGTGGTTGTTAAAATAAGGTGGTTTATTTCTATGGAAAGGTTATTTTGACCGCAGCTTATGCCCGTAATATGTGTCCATTCTGTGTGTGTGTCCCAGTCAAAAGAGGCATATTTCGAACAAGTCACTTGACTTATCTAAGGAGACACACACGCATATGTTTGATATAAAATTATTCGGAATCGTACAATGGACTCTTTTAGTTGAGATTTCTTATGATTATAAAAATGGATCTTGTCTCTTCTGTAGCCATGGGAAGTAAAGAGAATTAACAGCACTAATTATGTTGATAAAGATTATGTTCTTCTCTGTGAAGGTTGAGCATCCAGTGTATTATGTCTCCGTTTTAATACGATAAAAACCCTGGACCCATCCGCCAGCATAACTTCCTGTCGGAAGTGACGTCACCGTCTCCATCTCTCCTGTGATTACATTAGCACAAAATGTCCCTCGCTCGTGAGAGTTATTTGATTGGATTGCTATTTTTAGCGTCGACAATTTAACGGGCTCAAAAAGACGTTATGGTAGTGACTTGGTCCAGGATATGCCTTATAACAGAATGAGGACCGCCTCCGTGGTCTAATGGTAGAGCATCCGCCCGGAGGGCGGAAGGTCCGGGATTCGATCCCCAGCCGCGAAATACCAAAAGACGTTAAAAGATGGTACTTGTTGTTACCCTGTCTGGCGCTCGGCATTAAAGGGCTAAAACAAGGACTGGTCGGCTAGGAGTCCGTATACTGTGTCTGAGTGGGGTATTCATGTTACACTGCGGCATGGTATCTCAGTGTGCTAGCACTATAAATCGGCATCAGGCCGGACCAGTACAAGCAGCCACACACACACACATACACGTGCATGCACGTCGCTATATAAGTGCAATAATCTTGGACGCGACGTAAAACCCCATTTCACCTCACCTATAACAGAATGAACATATGATGCACTGAATACAGGAGAAAGCATCACTAGATTATAGGTTTTTATATGTTATACAGGCCATTACAAATGTGGATGTCTAAACCTACGATATGTGTTAGACTAAAATGACCATAATAATTATAAAAAAGTGATATTTTCCCCCAAAATGATGAATGTGAATCAGTAGCAGGCATGTTTGGAATGTTTGCTTTACATATGGGTAAATTGTCCAACATAATCATCATATTTTTTTTCAGAAACAAAATACAATATCGACATTTAGCGAAGCCTCGTTTTCATCTCCGCCCTTTTTCAAAGAGGGAGACTAAATCCAAGAATAGTGACCATGTCCTCAAGGAACCAAACACTTCTCTCTACCATATACAAACACATGAAATGTCTCCTCTGAATTGTGCTAGAGCATCCGAATCAAAGATACAGCTAATATCGAAATCATATACTTATTCTATTGGTGAGAAGATTGAAGTTCGGATACAAACGTTCAATGGGCACGGTCTGCCTATGACAAGAGGCGGTGACCTTGTCCGCGTGTGGATTAAGGAAGTAGCGAAAAGCGCATGCGCAGCAGGAAGTGTGATCGATAATCAAAATGGAACATATACTGCAACGATTATACCTAGGTGGGTTGGCAAAGTGACTGTAATGGCGGCCATAGCAGCACCGAGGGAGTTGATTGATATGTTTCACCGTGTCTACCGCAGGAATGGAAGTCTGAACACTATGATGGCCCGGTTTGAAACGGGTGGTGTTAGCGAAGAAAGTCCGTGCCTTCCAACCCCTCACATTCGAGGGTTCAGCAAGTTGTGCAACTTCAGCAAGAAGATCGGAGGCCTGCCTTTCTACTGCGGACACCCAGTGAATCTACAGTGTCACAACTGGGTTGCTGTGCGAACACCTCCGGGACAAGGCAGAAGGTTCACGCAGGATGAGAAAAAAATGTTTATTAGGTGAGCAAATAGAATTACTCCGATACAGCAATCACATTAAAATCAGATATTTTACTGGGAAACGTTACCTCTGCGTGAAGACGAGACAACCAAGTCGTAGCGGTCGCGTGATACAATCGGGGAGTTCCGAATGCAAAAAACTTAACCCGTGTTATTATATTGTTGTGGATATTATATATAGCATGTCGTTTCTGAGCGCCATGGACATCCACAACCAAAAGGGTGTACAATCAAGGGTATATTTGTGTTTTGTGGTGGTTTTCCTTTTCTGAGATCGAAATTTCGAATCGGGGTGCTAAAGAAATGAATGTGAATCGTTTAGGGAAACTGACATATGATTGTATCATAGAACCCACGTGTCCCTCGTATGCGATCGGCCACACAGAACCGGTCATCAAATCCTATTCCCCGAGGAATAAAGAATAAGCCTACAGCGAGTTTATTCTGCCATTTTTATCATTTTCACAATTTGATACAAAAGGAGATTAGGGTGCGAAGAATTTGTTTGTGGCCATTTTGCAAGACACAAATTTGTTCATGTTAACATTTGCGCATCACGCGCAAGGCAATGTTAATATACATTACGCGACGTAACATCGCTTGAACTGCAGACTTACAAACATCAAACAGAATCGGCAGAATGTCTGTTACCATGGCGGTTATGAACAGTTGTACACCGCTTGACATGGATACATAAACATAAACTACGGTTATAACGAACTCATAGGGACCCCTTATTTTAGTTCGTAATAACCGTAGTTCGTTATAGGCATATATACAGCATTTATACAACAAATGGTCGGGACTAAAAAATAAGTTCGTTATATCGGTCAGTTCGTTATAAACGTGTTCGTTATAAACGTACTTTACTGTTTGTACCAAAACGTCATCGACTGTCGACATTCATATTTTACAGATGACATAATACGAGCATTTGACGAGCAGTATTCATATTTTTTTATTTCTAATATATGATATGTATCTTGTAATGTTATGTCATTCTTATAAGAACTGTAGTCTAAGTCAAATGTTAACTCCCTGAACAAACATTAGTACGGAAGCCTTTTAGGACCATTTGTTTCTATATTTTATTCTTGAAATTACAAGATACTAAGCTAAAATGTCAAGATATTAACTTGAAGTTTCAACTTAGTATGTATCTTGAAATTTCAAATTAGTATCTTGAAATTTCAACAACAGAAATGAAAAACAAATGGCCCTAAAAGGCTTCCGTAGTGTCAGCGCACGATAATAATGCATGAACAGCAAAATTTATTATATTGTATCAAATTATTTGTATTCTGTCTCACAGTCTTTGAACCATATTATTATCCCTTCCGCCCTTAGTGCCATGTAATAGTCATAAATGTAGCAAGTCTAGAGTTTCCACTTTATGGATAACAACTTCTGGTTTCACTAAAGCCCAGTAGATACCGGCATCAAAGACAATATGACTTCAACAACCATGGCAGACAGAAAAGCAGCCCTCACAGACCACCAGCAAAGTTTTCTAGCCATCAACTTCAGTTTGACAAAGTCCAAATCCTCTCTACCAAACATTAGGACTTCAAAAAAACAAAACTCTTAGAAGCCCCTAATCCGCGGTCACAAACCTAGAGATCAAGGGTATGGCTTCCCGGCCAAGCAATAGTCTGATATTTATCAGTGTCCTATCAGCTACTTACAACGTTAAAATCCTTACTGTACACATGGCTTCATTACCTATGTACGTTTTGTTATTGTTACTGTAGGGGGTACGCGTGGCCCAGTCGTCTAAGGCGACGCAATTCGCTGTGCAGAGTTGCGTCCCTTGGGCACGCCAGCAACCTATGATTGTGGGTTCGAACCCGGTTCGCCCCGATTGTGTTTCTAGGTTTGTCAGCACCATACCCGTGCTCGTGGGTTTCACCGAAATGGTAAACGTCTGAGACCTGCATCACTTCGGGCTTTCCTCCCACAAGCTGGCAAGCAGTGATATATACGTATACCTCTCATCACTTGGTTGGAGTCACTCCAGCTTGATAACGGTGGGGGGCGGTCGGGTAGCCTAGTGGTTAAAGCGTTCGCTCGTCACGCCGAAGACCCGGGTTCGATTCCCGACATGGGTACAATGTGTGATATTGCTGGAATATTGCTAAAAGCGGCGTAAAACCTCTCACTCACTGATAACGTTGGACGAATCTGCACCGAAAAGTCGCTATATGCAATAAACCAGAAGTTGTTAACCTTAAATGTATTTCTTTTTATTTATTCACCAACTTCTAGAATGCCAATCAAACATTAAATTTAAACGGCATTTTTTAGTTCTTAAAAAATATGTATTTTCAGAGACAAGTTTTTTAAAAGAAGCCCTCCTACACCGGAAAACCCTTACCTAACTACGTTGACAATAGTTTATTGAGCAAGCAAGCATCCGATCCATATTTGTAGCTTATCAAAAGTAGTGCCTTATAGGTCACCTCATTTGCATATTTATCGGATCCTGATTCCAATTTTATCGGATCGGTTTATCGCATCGATTACAAAATTCATTAGGGCCGGAGGGGTAGCCTAGTGGTTAAAGCGTTCGCTCGTCACGCCGAAGACCCGGGTTCGATTCCCGACATGGGTACAATGTGTGAAGCCCATTTCTGGTGTCCCCCGCCGTGATATTGCTGGAATATTGCTTAAAGCGGCGTAAAACCATACTCACTCACTCACTTACTCACAATCCATTATGTGACGAAACCCCGTATTGGATGAAATCGTTTACTTCCAGAGAGCTGTTTCATCAGACTATACCCGGGAGTTTGGAGGTGAAGGTCACTGATGGTAAGTAAGTCACTTGTTAACGTTTGAAGAATGAAGAATCGTAATGACGTCACTGAAAAATCGATTGTGTTAAGCGGCGGCCATTTTGGGAGATGGAAAAGGGCCGGAGACTGGGCTTGTTTCTGAAAAACATCACCTTACTACAGACATGGCTATTAGCATCGTATCGAGACCTATAAAGTTGGTTGGTTGGTTGTTTTACGCCGCACTCAGCAATAGTCCAGCTATATGACGGCGGTCTGTAAATAATCGAGTCTGGACCAGACAATCCAGTGATTAATATCATGAGCATCGATCCACGCAATTGGGATCGAAGACATGCATCAACCAAGTCAGCGAGCCTGACCACCCGATCTCGTTAGTCGCCTTTTACGACAAGAATAGTCGCCTTTTACGGCAAGCATGGGTTGCTGAAGACCTATTCTACCCTGGATCTTCACTGGTCGAGAGACCTATAAAGAATTATATTGATTCGCGACCTTGCTATCGAAATATGCATCCTTATTCGTATCGAGGCCCTAAGATCGATGCATGCATCGTATCGTGGCCTTATGACCGATACATGCATCGTTTCGCGGCCTTATGATCGATACATGCATCGTATCGTGGCCTTATCATAGATACATGCATCGCATCGCATCGCGGTCTTATGATCGATACATGCATCGTATCGTGGCCTTATCATAGAAACATGCATCGCATCGCATCGCGACCCCTAACGATTAAAAGTTTGAATCGTATCGCGACTTTTACTTTCAAAATATGCACTATTTCACGACCTTGATATCGAAATATGTATCAAATCGCGAACTTGCTACCATATTGTGACGAAGTGTACCGTTACACTTATTATTTTATTATCAAAAATGGGTGGACATTGGAAGATTAGCCTAGTCAATGCTACAAAACACGATTATCGTCCGTATCATATCAATGTTTGACCTAGTTTTGTTAAAGGGATAACCTACAACGACCCTTTCGTAGGTAAATTTATACTTTATGGGGTTAGGGGCATATCATGTCCTTTGACGTTTGAATTGTATTGGTACTCTTGAACTTCATTTGTGTTTACCTTTTACTCTTCAGGAAAAACGAAACAAAATGGGCCAGTAAGAACACAACAAACTTCATCTCGTTCGACGTGGTCACAAAGACCAGGTTATTTTCTCAACTGGATCTGGCATCAAGGTGAAGGCCATGCACTGTCAGGTGAAGGTCACTCAGGAAGAAACGACATATTCGTGACACGGCTATCAACGTGTCTGGCTAACAGACGTCTATGGCTAATTGGAGACTCGACCCTCAGACACTGGCTTGAATTCATATCACAAAAACTTCACACACAAAGAAAGCAGACATCGGAAGATATTTTACACCCGCATCAGCCTCTTCTGGTCCAGGACAAATCTCGTAACATCTCCATATTTTGGGGCCCGCATGGACTTCCGTTTCATCACGGGTCGACCTGGCATAGCCCGGATGTTAACAGAGCTGCGCACCAGTATTTAGACGCAGCAACATCTGAATCCGAAGACATATACATTATAAACCTCTACGTACATTTCCATGCATTTCCAGAAGAAGTGTTCAGGGCCCATGTTAAAAGACTCGCAGAATCTCTGGATTCTTTAGTAGCTAGAGCACCGAAGGTCAAGGTTGCGATTAAAGGACCTCATGCATTTCACGGACTGAACAAAGCGGGATTTGTGGATGATTATTTTGGGCCCGTGTATGACTCCATTTTAAGATCGGAGTTGCATCATTTACGAGATCACGTGATATACTTGGACTTCTGGGATATGACGGTGGCATGTGAGAATGTTGACATCCACCCGAATGTCACAGTAGTACAAGCTATGATTGATGTTATGATTAAACACGTATGCAGGTAATGAGAGCGTGATTGTCAGTTTGATTTTGTCACAGTTCCAGGGCGGTCGGTGGCCTAGTGGTCACCCCCGTCGTGATATTGCTCGAATATTGCTGAAATTGGCGTTAAACTATGATCACATGTCACAGCCCCAGATATACGAATGGATTTTGGTTGGGTTTGTTTGTTGTGAATTTGATATTCTCTCTCTTTATCATTGCGGCGTCCTGTAAATAATCGAGTCTAGTCAATGGTTAATATCATGAGTAACATCCCGTGTTGTGGTAATAAGATGGTACGCAATTAACCAAGTCACCGAATCTTACCGCCGAGACCGCCGAGACCGCCGAGACCGCCTCCGTGGTCTAGTGGTAGAGCGTCCAACCTGAGAGCGAAAGGTCTGGAGTTTGATCCCCGGCCGCGTCATACCTAAAGACGTTAAAAAATGGTACTTGTTATTACCCTGCCTGTCGCTCGGCTTTAAGGGGCTAAAACAACGACTGGTCGGCTCGGAGTCAGAAAACTGTATCTGAGTGGGGTATTCATGTTAAATTGCGGCATGGTTTCTCAGTGGGCTAGCACTATAAATCGGCATCAGTGAGGGCTGGTACTAGCAGCCACACGCACGCACGCACGCACGCACGCACGCACGCACGCAGGCTATATAAGTGCAATATACGTGCACTGCGTGTCAAATAAATTTTTAAATGTGGAAGAAAAGATTTGATGTAGGTCCAAGACGTTTATAACTCTGGTGAAACCAATAAACGGGGTGTGGTGCTGACAGACCAATGAATACAGTCAGATCGAATCTTGGATTGGAATTCAGGCACACATTCCTCACAGCGGTGGCCCGATCACGGAGCTCTCAGTGAGTTGGCGCCACCACTCACAGTTCCCCACTTTGCCCCCCCCCCCCCCCCCCCCCCCCCCCCCCAGTGATATTGCTAGAATACTGCTAAAAGCGGCGTAAAACCATATTCACTCACTCCCAACTGAGACAGGCGGCCACAGCCGTGCTTGGAGTGTTGTTTGTTTTTTGTCTATTTGTTTGTTTGTTTGTTGTTTGACGCCGCACTCAGCAATACCATACACCACAGCAGCACCATACCCGTGCTCGGGGGTTTCACCGAAGTGGTAAACGCCTAAAACCTGCATCACTTTGGGCTTTCCTCCCACATTAAGCTGACACGGAATAATGTTAAAAGCGGCGTTAAACCCAACTCACTCACTCTCACACTCCTTGTAGTGGTGCTCTTACTGTCGACCACTAGCTTAAGTTTACCTGCTCTGTTCAGAGTACAGTTTATATACTTTATCCTGGTATGTTTGGTCATTCGGTCACCGCAAGTGACTCTATAAAGTGACCACAGTGTTGTACGTCCAGTGGAGATTATGCGACCCTTCGTAATAGCCTCGCGGTCATCCGCTGTTTCTCAGCCGTGCAGGGATGCGCTGTCAGATTCATCCAGCACATGGTATGTTGTATGTTAAGTTCACCCTTGTTCTCCTAACTGCTACATCCGTGATGCACAAATCATGTTTATTTTGTTTGTTTGTTATTTAACGTCGCACCAAGCAAGATACAAGCTGTATATGATTTTGTAAATAATCGAGTCTGGGCCCATCTTCCCGAGGCAAGGGAGTTAACTGACTACAAAAGTCCAGTTTCCACCCTTGCCGAACTAGGCTGGAATTCCTGGGCTGGATCGTAGCGCCACCAGTGGCTATTACGAGTTATGTGCTTTCTATGCCTCTCCTATTGACCAATCAGATTAAACCTCTCATAACACTTGCATTTGCTTCAAACAAAATGGTGGCGCCCAGTCAAGACGATATGATCGATAATCAAGATCTATATTGTGATAAAACGAGTCTTACATCGCGAAGTGCATCAAATCACGTGAGCACCTTGATTAAAAACATGAAAAGATTTTTAAAATATCTGTTGACAACGAGTTAGCGGTGCACATGCTTTGCAAATCCTGCAGTCGACCGAAATCTGCATGACACTTTACGAACCGGATTTCGATTTCGGTGCGCGATTTTGTTTGGACTATGCATAGACTCGTTAGCCCAGCCAAAATGTAACTCCATAATACCAGCCTAGTTCGGCAAGGGTGGAAACTGGACTTTTAAAGTCAGTTAACTCTCTTGCCTCGGGAAGATGGTCTGGGCCAGAGAGTCCACTGACTGACATCACGAGAATCGATCTACCCAATGTGATTTATCAATTTGCAAATCTTTCAATCTTTGGAAATCCTACCAAGGATGCACACTGTAAGGGCGATACAGTTATGTTCTCATCAGCATCATGACACAAACATACACGCATCACCATGTCACGAAAGCTGATCAAGAATATCCTCAACAAAAGGTTGTTCAAATGATACATATACTGAACAACAAAAGTTACTTTGACATTGAATAAGTTTTAATGCAAAGTTATGCTATTTACCAAATCTGAAACAATTTCGGTTTGCAACAGATTTCGGTTTTACTCCTGTAGGTGTTCAAATGGTTTAATTGGCCACACTGACTTCAGGAATTGCGTTATTTGATATCAATTTACAAATCAATAGCGTGTGTGTCCACCTCTGGTTGCGATGCAAGCAACACATCTTCGTCTCATGGAATGGACCAGGCGTCGCACAAAGTCCTGTGGGATATCTGTCCATATCTTCCTGGAGTGTCTGTGGAACACGTGGTTGACGAAGGCACCGATCCATCTCATCCCACATATGCTCGATTGGTGAGAGATCAGGGGAGCGAGCCGGCCAGGGGATGACATTCACGTTGTTTTGTTGAAGAGAATCCTGAACAAGTCGATCAATATACTATGTGTGTAAACCGCCACTGAACCCGTAAAGATTCGGGGTAGAATATGTCTTCAGCAACCCATGCTTCCTGTAAAAGGCGACTATGCTTGTGGTAAGAGGCGACAAACGGGATCGGGTGGTCAGGCTCGTTGACGTGTTTGATGCATGTCATCATCTCCCTATTGCTTGGATCGATGGTCATGATCTCAATCACTGGATTATCAGGTCCAGACTCGATTATTTACAGACCCGGCCAACTGGAATATTGCTGAGTGCGGTGTTAAATAACAAACAATATACCTGACGAACTCGGCGGCGAAGTGGAATACAAAAACTCCATAAAGAAGCGCCGTAAAATATATTGTCTCCGCCACGTTTAAAACAGCCATTACCCCCGGGCTGCACGTGCAGGCTGTGCTGTATCAGCTGTTTATGATCTTAACACAATAGATCTTTAGGAAATACCAGATATTATTCATTCCATGGTATAATATAAGGCGTAGTTGGTTTACATGTAATTGTGTTATTGCTGGTCATAAGGCGAGAGGGCATGACATTTAGTGTCCGGTAAAGGCTTGTGTGAAAACAATAGAAGGTAAGGTCACGATTGTGGTCACCGACGAAGTCGGGATGTGTTACACACATGGGCTTTCAAGAATATGTGTTACAAAGTACATAGCAATTTAAAGAAATCTGTAGATTACAAACCATTTTTATATCAGTTTTAGTCCTTTACAAAAAAAAGGTATTTTTTTAAGTTTACATCGATTTTGTAGCTTTCTTATTCTTCAATTGCTCCAGGGGCGGACGTGTAGCTTAGTGGTTAAAGCGTTCGCTCGTCACGCCGAACACCCGGGTTCGAATCCCGACATGGGTAGAATGAGTGAAGCTCATTTAATTGGTGTTCCCCGCCGTGATATTGCTGGAATGTTGCTGAAGCCATATTCACTCACTCATTCACTCAAAGCGGCTTTTAAACAATCGTGCTCATACCCGAATTGCCAACCAATGGTCATTCAAATTGGGCTTCACCCATTATACCAATGTCGGGAATCGAACCCGGGTCTTTGGCGTGACGAGCGAACGCTTTAACCACTAGGCTACCCGACCGTCCCTTAAAAACCGCTTTGAACAGTATTACAGTTATATCACAGTGTGTCACGGGCTTGTCGTTATCTCTGTTATTTAAAGTATTGGACTTATTCTTGTAGCAAATAGCCGTCTTTGTTAACGTGACATGTAAATGAGTCAGGCGTTAAGTGATGCTGGTGTCATACGTTTACCGTTTTGGTGAAATCCATGACAAACTCAGAAACATAATCAAGCCAATCTTGGTTCCGAACTACGATCAAAGCTTTCTGAACTTTAGGGACACAAGAATCTGCGGGATACCGAAAAGATTTTTTTCAGAAAAAAACATACATAATTTGTATTTTTCAATCAAACATGAGGCAACATTGCGTGGATCGATGCTCATGATGGCAATCACTGGATTGTCTGGTCCAGACTCGAATATTTACAGACCGCCGTCATATAGCTCGAATATTTCTTAGTGCGGCGTTAAACAACAAACAAAACAAAAAATACTGAATAAACCTTTCTATAACAACAAGCCGTCAGTCAGATGAGAAATAGAATTAAATTAAAACAATTTAATATTTTCAACATTTTCCGTTTCATAAGTTGAGTCACTTGAACTTCATTTATACGAAAGGAGAGTTCGTCAAGCGTGAGAATTAAGATCTAATTGGCATGCGGCATGTGATAGAGCGTCCAACTTTAGTCAGTGTTGACCTTTCACATTTGACCCAGTTTACTCACACGTGTCAATATCGTGTGAAATGTTCACCCAGTTCGCGCGAGGTTCCCAGCACTGACCAGCTCTGCGCGAACTGACCAGCGATGACAGTTACGTGGTGGTATTTGAAAGCCTTTCCTTGCATATGACAGCGATTCGGAAGTATATCCAGGGATCGGAAAAATATACTAGTGTCCAAGCCCATCCTCGATTGTCCTGTGCAATAGATCTCAGTTCAGATGGACGCGCACGCACGCATGCACGCAAACAAGCACGCACGCACACACACACACACACACACCAACACACACACACACACCAACAGACACACACCAACACACCAACATACTCCCTCACACTCCCACACTTCGGGTATAATACACCGGATAATCGAGGATGGATCCAGACATAAACGGTATTTCTAACCAAATCATATTTTACTTTTAAGTCGGGGGCAATTTATCTCGCTTTTAGCACAACAGTTAAACATCCGACTTCAGAGATTATTTCCGGGACGGTGGGGTAGCCTCGTGGTTAAATCGTTCGCTCGTCTTCCCAGGTTCGATTCCCACATGGGTACAAAGTGTGAAGCCCATTTCTGTTGTCCCCTGCAGTAATATTGCTTGAATATTGCTTAAAGC